CGACGCAGTTCCTAATATTCAAAATGGCAAAAATCAGTCAAACCGAAAAAATCAAATTTGCGGAAGAATGTCATGTTTGTAAATGTCTTGTCAACAAGATTTTGCATAAGTTTCAAAATTGCGTCAGATTATAAGTTTTTGATTCGCGGGAGTCCGCTAACCAGTGCTCTTGAGGTACGCGGAATTCTGCGATATTTGCGGAAAAATCACATGCTCTGCTTCTAGATCTGTGAAAGAAAATCGACGTAAGGAGAGAAAAGGGGCTAAAATACCGAAATAATCGGGACATTTCGAACCTAAAATCGTATTTTTTAAACAAGGCTAAAAAATCGGAACAGTCGGCAGCTATATATTATGAGTTATGAAACACAAAGAACATTAAGTTATATGTTGTTGCTTGTTTGCACTATTTAGTTCAGCGAAAACTATTAATAGTAGAATTATTATCTTTCACAGATAACTTAAATAAAAAATACGTCTTACTTTCATCATTGTTCTAAGTTGGAAGTAATAAACTCTATACGTATATCAATTCAATCCAATATCCCAGTTTTTTGCCCTGTTATTATTTCCTCAAACTGATGGTTGGACAGTCAAAGAATGATTAAATAAAATTAATTAAAAACAATTTGACGACTGAATCACGAAAATGAACGTTTTGGATTGAAGCTATTTTTTAATTTTCAATGCACTGCCCCCCCCCCTCGATACTATTAGTCATTGCTTTGTTTCGTGCATACCACGCAGTTTTGATTTTTACACAGCGTTTTTCAGTAATTTCTCGGTGAGGAGGGTTAAAGTCTTCATCTGCAGCTGCTTGGATCGGGGTTCAAATCTCCGCTTTAGAGGCTTTTCGGACTGCACTGTCTACAATCATATCTTAGCTGTTCGGAATTCACCCTAATGTAATGTCCACGAGTTGTGAGGGCTCAGGGGATAGAGCGCTCGCCTTCCAATGAGGTGAACCGGGTTCGAATACCAGCCATGGCTGGTCGATTCGAATTCCGCACCCTGCTTATACTCACCACAGTGGTAGACTGATTATGGGTTAGTCCCCTTGCCGTTAGGCTAACCGTGAGAGGTTTCCGTCACCATATAACGAAAATGCGATTTAGTTCCATCAAACACTCCTCAAAGATGGCAAATTTCTCTCAATGCTTCATACAGGAGTTCCCTTGTCTTCTGGATTGGGTTCAAAATTACAAGGCTATGGAGTTGAACATTAGCAGTCGTGAATTCTAAAATTGAGTCAGTGGTTGAAGGATGGTTATAAAATAAAATGCAATGTCCTCTGTCCCTGTTGAAAAGGTCTACAAAGAGCACTTGTTTGGGAACAGGTTGTAACAGACGAAATGCATAAATAAAGCATGTTTGAGCCGATTTGTGGTAAAATTGCCAGATTTGGAGGCACTAAAGTAGGTTGAAGCAATTGGAACAGCAATCACAACATAGTTAATGTAAAAATATATACACAAAAATTATTAGTAATTTTTTATTAATATAATTATCACAAAATATAAATATGTCTTTTTTACAATATAGTGTGCAAATATATCTTTAAAATAAATTTTCAAAAAATAATGCTGCTTTTTAACTATATGCAGAACATGATTATTTATGCAAAGCATTAGTAAGTCATAAAAATATCAAAATACAATATCTATTTCTAAAACTGCAATTTATATATATCTTTCTAATGAGCAAAAAATGATTCACAACAAATACATAACAAAAAAAAATATTTTAATTCTAACTAACACAAAATCTTTTTTCTTTTTTAGATTTTCAGTATTTATATTTGAAATATCAATCTTATATACATAATTACAATCACATTACGCTACAAAAATAATTTGAATACTCAAAAGAATAAAAAACAATATATCTATTAATATTTTTTACATCATCAATTATTTGGCTTATTTTTATTTTAAGATGTTAAATATTTTCATTTTCGTGCATTTAAAATCTATTTTTAAAAAAAAAAAACGTGTAGTAGTTAAGAGTAAACCAGAATTAAAATTTTTAGCTTCAAGTAGGCAACAGTAAACATTGGCAGTGGTATAAGTAAAAGCTAATTTGAACGTTAAAATAAAAATAAGAAAACTTATGTTCTTAATTCATAAAATGGTTACAATTATTCCTATAAAGAATTTTCAGAATTTTTTTTCTTCTTCAGAATCATAGCAAATAAGCTGAACATTAAATTGCATAAAGTTTTTAAGTCAGATCACGATTTAAAGACTTCATCAATTATGGAAATTTTATTCATTAAATCGGTATTATTCACATTATTGGGGTCGAAAACCAAAGAGAAATTTTGAGTGCTCTGAAGAGTAAATTGCATTGTCTTTTTAAAATCTTGAACCTTGATTAAAATGAAACTGAAATTTTTCAGGGTGCGTAGCCAAATTTTTCAACAAAAATAAGCAGCTTTTAAGCACTCTTTTAGCACTCAAAAAATATTTTTAAACAGTTTAAAAAATTATAATTAGGCAGGCAGAGTGGACAAGTTCTTGACAATTAAAGGTTTTATCCATCATGACAAAAAAAAACCTTTGACAGTTTTTGACAACAGTCAAAAACCCAAAATTTTGGCGTAAGGATATTACCTATTATAAATATGAAGTATTTTTAAATTATCAATTCAAAACTAACTGAATTCCGAAATTCAGAATATCTTGCAAAATGCAGCAAAGTTGCACATGAGGGTAGTAGAAGAATCTCACTGAATTCGGCTCAGTGTACGCACATGCGGACCCGCAAGTATTTCATCAAACGTGTAAAGGCGTCTTCACACGCTACACCGAAATAGATCGGGGTTGAATTAATTGTGAAAACGTTGAATAGAACAATGTCATTTTGCATAATTCGTGGCGAAAATAAATATGGTAAAAAAAAATTCATTTTAAAAAAGGAAAATAAAGTACTTTTTAAAAACTCCTTATAAAAAAAGCATTTTAAAAGGCTTTTAAAAAACGAAAATAAGCACCTTAAAGTACTTTTTAAAAACGCTAAGCACCCTCTGAATGACCGAAATTGGTGGTTGTTGACACTCAAATCGTCGCTTTGGTAAATGTCCGAAATATATACTAGGTCTAGTTAAGTGCCACTGACCAGTATGACCTACAATGTTTTTTAAAGGTCAACTGCCCAGTATGCATTTAATCGGTACTCCGAATACTGATGTTTCTCCTAATCTATCCATAGTAGATATTAAAATATCGAATAAATATAATAATATCAACGAATAAATCAGTGGTTCCCAAACTTTTTGTCTCATAGACCCCTTGCTAAGTTTTTCGGTTTTGGGCTTACCTGATATTGACTTTTTGCAAATTCATCAACCTCAAATGTATTTTTGACAGCTGGTATAGTGCTACTCACTGTGAAAGATTTAAATTTTTAACTGTAGAGAAGAGTAGTGTGAAAAACTTAAGAAAAAAACACATGTTAATTTTATACATTTATTAATTAAATTCAAATTAAAACAAACCTAATTAAAATTTATAATCCGCTATTTAAAATAACTGAGCAATAAATAAATACTTTTAGTGGGAGGGATGAACCTGATGCTTTAATAATAAATTATCAACATTTGGCATCAATTTAGTTGAGTATAATCTCAAATCTCCTCAGTTAATGATGTCCAGTCTGTTTCTTTTTTTTTTTTAAGTTAGGAGATTGGCAACTGCGCTGAAACACAGTTCCACTATAAAAAAAAAATAAAGATGGAAAAGCAAACTTTCCTTCTTCATAACTTTCTCGTGATGTTCCATAGTACGGGATAAGTATATGTGCAAGTTTTTACATGTTCAAATTTTATTGCGACCACAAAGCGAATGCCTACAACTTTCCCAATTTTATGAAACATACTAATTTAATTTAATTAGTATGTAAATGGAATAAAATAATGCACTTTAAAACCCCTACTCCGCAATTAATATTATAATTGCGGAAATAAGTTTGCATAAACTGTAGTAGTGTATTGTAGGTCTGTTTATCACATTTTCACGTAAAAACTAAGCAACAAATCTCTGTGATCTTGTGCGCAGACAAAGTCTAGCTAGCTAAAGAGTTGACACAGGCTCTCAGGCAGGCTACAATTTACGGCTGAAAAAAAACTTTTTTGTTACAAAATAATACCTTACGAGCAGAGAAAATAAAAACGCATGCGGGCAGAGCTGCAGGCAACTGCTAGTTTAAAATAATTCAGTTTCATATATCAGAAAATAATTCTAATAACTTAAATTTTAATAAAATTTTTACTTCTTAGCTACTTTTATAAATTATGTAGATAGATATATGTCTTTATATTATATGGTAATATAATGTAAGTAATTAAGTACTATCAGTGCATGCTGATTATTCCATTCATGAAATGCNAACACTGATGTTTTTCCTAATATATCCTCAGCAGATATTAAAACATCGAATAAATATAATAATATCAACGAATAAATAAATATCAAATCGGATATAACAAATATTTCGGACATTCACCAAAGCGACCATGAGATTGTTGACATTCACTCTTGAAAATATTTCTAATACATGAAGCTATAATAGATCTCAATTTCACACATAAAAAAATATCTTTTAACTGCTAAATATCGGAATAAATTTCTGGGCAAAATTCAGAAAGATAAAAAAAAAATTAGAAAATTCTAATCATCAATCCTCTGAAGCGTGCCTTGATCTGCCTACATAATGTTATCTACATTCAAATGAAGCTTCAGAAATAATAGCTGACAATTCATAATTTAAATTGAAATTCATTTATTATGTTTTAACACAATTAATTCATTTTGAAACTTAAAATTTTATAAATCATTAGAATATGCGATATAAGCTCAATTTTTGTAGAAAGGTTTTTTGTTAAGCTTTTATTTAAAACAAGTACTTTAAAATCGTATAATTATTTCACAATGACATTGTTTAACTGTTGCTTCCAAAAATAAGGCATATATTGAACTTCTGCATTAAACAAAAATACAATGTAAAAGTATCACAGAGTTTTAATTGTTATTTGGAATGAAAACGCACACTTTTCAGCACTATATAATTGAAACACCTAATAAGCAACATTTTTAAACAATGACTATGGCACAAGTTTGTGACTAAAAATCTATGTTTCTACAATCTACAATTTAAAAACAATTTATAGTATAAGAATAAACAATTCATTATTAACTAGGTGTATAAGTTTCACAAAGATTTATAAAAAAATATCATGTATAGTGTTTTAAAATATATCTCAGGAATTTTTTTTTTTTAATTCCGTAAAATCCTGCTGATTCAATAATAGAGATCAACTAAAAGATTAATTTGCAATACTCATCAAAATGCCTGAATTTGATAGAAGCAAAATAAGTTTGGAATACCTGAGGCTTTGGATTGGAGAAAAATAAGGTGACATTCAGAAAAAAAAGTACTCTACTGCTTTTTATGAAATTTCCCTGATATTTGCATCAGATGGCATACATTTTGACCCCGTGGCAGAATTTTTTCAGGCTTTTAGCAACTAACTTCGCTAGCATTAATATTCTTATTTGAGATACTTTTAATTATAACAATTACTAATCTAAAGTAACAGAAACGTTGTGTTTACAGAAGAAAGTATAGAATAAAAATGTTTAATTGTAAAAGCAATATTTTTTTTACTAATATACTGTAGTAATGAACTAATCATTTCCTCTTTTGAATTTCGTAAATCATTACACAAATTAAAATTCGTAAATAAAATTAAACGATAATAAATAAAAATTCTTGTAGTAAATTAAAAATCGTAAAATCTGTGCAATAACTCCCAAAACAAATATCGACGAAAAATCACACGAATGTTTTCTTTAAAAAACGAGTACTCAAATAAGTGTATGTAAAACATAGCGTTCTTTAAAGAAAAAAAATAAAAGAAAGATCATTTCTAGAGCGGACCATCTTTTAAACTTTCGTGATTTCTGAATTTTTTTATTCTATATTATTAATTTGAAATTCTAGCTGAATCCAGTCATTACAGATTTTTTTAAAAAAAATCTCAATGAGAATAGAAAATTCAAGACTATTTCTTAACTCTCTGATGCGCAAGAAAGACATCTTTGAAAAAAAAATTCTGCTGGAAAAAGAAAACTTCTTTTGAAAAATGTTGCAGAAAGGAAAACCAAAATTTTTCCCTTCCCAAATAAAAAATCTTTCTGCAAAAGCTCTGTAACATTGTCGCCATAGTTCTGCCGTGGAGCATTTTGTTGATAGTATTTCAGCTATGCCTTATTTTTAAACATAGAATATATACCACCTCTATGTAGCGACCACTTTTGGGAGGCATTGACTTTGTGTTGAAGAAAACCTTTAGGGCAGAGCATTAAAACCTCGTCCAGTGACCGGTCAAACATCTGCACCAAATGCAGAAAAAGTCATAACCAAAAATTTAATAAAGTAAGTAAATAAAAATCTATTCAAAATATTTGAGCGAGACTCTAATTTAAAGAGCTCTTTTTGATGATGCTCTTTTTGCTCCTCTTGTTTCAATCAGAGTGCACAAAAGACTATGATATCAATAATTTACTTTTAGAGTTGAAAGTTAAATTAGAAAATAAAAAGTTATTTTAGGAAGAAAAAAAAACAAGCATCTCATTATTTAAAGCTGATTTTTATGATATAAAATTAAATGCAAACTTAAACAAAAAACATAATTGTTAATTTATTTAAAATAGCTTTATCACTCATAATGGGTAAATTTGTTTTTACACATAATTATCAGTCACATATATCCGTCTTTTCATGGACACCAACAGAAGTGGCATTTCCAAACTAAGAAAATGTCACTGACTAAAAATAAAATCGTATGCAAAAAATCATGTACCTTTGATAACAATTTTAGTCAATGGAGGTAACCTCTAAGAATGGCCAACCTCCATCAACGACCATTTGACTGTGGAAAGGAGAGTGGTCACTCTAGGGACGTTTAACTGGTTAACAAAACACTAACACATGTCATAAGAGTTGAAAATCAAATAGTTTCAAAACCAGTATTAATGGGTAAAATATTTGACTTATAAGTATTTCAAATATAAATTTATTTATTTTCCCTGACATTTCTCCTTTTTTTTTTCCTTCTCCAGATTGTTTAAATTTCCTGTTCAGTGGCCACACTGGAGAAGTTTAAATCAACAGGATTCTACTGCTGGTGACAAGGTTAATAAATAATACAACAGGTATAAAGAAACTAATACATACTACCTTACCTTTTAAATTGACTGTAGTAGGGATAGTCATATACATAATTGTTTCATAAAAGAGAATTCATCAAAACAGATAAATCAAAACAGAGATCAATTTCATTAAAACTCATGACATTTTTTATTAGTTCACTAATTTTAATCTTCTTCACTCATATATGCTGCACTAGCAACATGTTCCTGGGAATTAGACTTCTTCTGTTTCCTTTTCTCATTTTCCAACTCTTCGAGCTGAGCCTGTAAGAGAAAAATCATAATCTAAATAAAATTTGCATTTAAGGCAAACGATTACTTAGATAAGCGTGATAGAATGAAAGATAAACCTAGGTTTAACGCAGTAAAATTAGATAGTAGCAATCTGAGTTTAAAGCTTGAAGTATCCCCAACGATTTTCTTTAACCAGCTAAAACCGTGTCGAACTAAACTAATCCTAATCTTTTAAAGTCCTAAATCAATATCTACTATTTGATGGATCTTAATCTTAAAAAAATCCTCAAAGCATATGGCATATCCTCAATTAGAGACATGGGTTGATAAATATGTTAGAATCCCTTATCATTGGGGCAAGTAAAAAAATCTTTAGTATTCAAATTAGGCAAGCTTTTCTTGGTTTTTCTCTCCATTAACGCAAATGTGGCTTGCTTAATCGAAAAGTCCTTCCCGAAGGCTAATTTGATCCAGGAGTTCTCTAGTGTCGTAGGCTGGGTTCATAATCACAGACAATATAAACTAAATTTTTTTTTAACCACAGGCACTGAACTTTCATTCTTCACCTCAGAAGATGCCGGAAGTGTTGCTCATTTAACGTTACCCAGTAGGCAAGTGTGAACCTAAGTCACAGAGGCAAGCAACACTACCCCAGCCACAGATACTCGTTCATAGGGTAGGCCACATTCACACATGAGAGATATCCATGCCCTGAGCAAGATTCGTACCTGTAGCCACTGGCTTCAGTCAGGAATGCTGACCGCTAGGCTGGGTGAAACTCAAATATAATTAATACTGAATAAGTGCATAGCTGCCAATATAGATATAGACAAAAAAACCATTAGATTTTACAAAATAATATGAATTTTATGATAATTGTTGCATAATGTACTAAATTCTTTACACATAGGGAATTTTAGGTTTTTTTATAGTCATCAGAATAGAAAAACTGCAATATTTTCCGGTTGGCATTAAATATGCTCGAAATGTCGTGAATGTTTACTAGTAATTTTGAATAGGCATTGAATTCATAATTGAATAATTAAGATTTTTTTTAACTAATTTAAAAAGGGAGTTCTAAATCAAAATAAACTGAACATTTTAGAATAAAAAAAAGTTTTAAACTGATTTTAATAAATGAGAGATGCTTTATTATATATTAGTAATACTTATTTAAATATTCAAGCAAAAATCTGCGCAAAAATTATATTTCGATAGGGATTTTTTTTAGGAAACTAACTCAATTTTAGGGAATTTTCTAAAATGTACAAAAACCAGGAGAAACTGGAAAAATCCAGTAGAGTTGGCAGCTATGCAAATATAAACCAATCAAAAACAACCNGCTTCATTATATATTAGCAATACTTATTTAAATATTCAAGCAAAAATTATATTTCGATAGGGATTTTTTTTAGGAAACTAACTCAATTTCAGGGAATTTTCTAAAATGTACAAAAACCAGGAGAAACTGGAAAAATCCAGTAGAGTTGGCAGCTATGCAAATATAAACCAATCAAAAACAACCCTTTTCCTTTCATTTAAAAAAGATCTCACCAGGTATGGTTAAAAAACCATAAGTTTAAAAAAATATAAATGTAGTAAATCAAAATGTTTAAAATGATGGAGAATACTTTGTACTAAAGTGGAAAACAATGTGAATAAAGCACAGAAATGAACATACTACAAGTTCTGGTTCTCAAGACAAAAGATAAACTACTGCAAAGTGGATTAACCAATCAAGACAGAGGAAAACGTTTGATCAAGATAATAAAAAAACAGGAACAAGGAGGATGGGCAAAAGATCAAATTAGAATAGATTTTTATACAAGGATAAAGAGTAATATACTAAAAAGATCTGAATTATTAGAAAATCTCAAAATATAAAGTGATTCCAAGGAATCAAGTTAGCTAGATTTTACAAGAAATAAACTCAAACCTATGATTAGAATTCCTCCTACATAAGGCATTTAATATCCTAATTCTGAATGTATCTTTCATGTTAGTTAAAGTCGAAGTTGAAGGATAAATTTAGTTTGTCCAATCTACGATAGATCACACTAACAAACTTGATAAATGTCTCAGCTATTAATATCAGCAATAGGGTCTTTAAGTTTGGTGAAATTTAGTCCAAGTCTTAGTGAATTGTTAATGTTAGGAAAAAATCAGTTCTAACTTTAAATTAAACGAGCCCTTCTTAGATAAGATAACTATTGAAAGGAATTTTTGAAGAATGGTAAACAAGTTTTCGTAAGGCAACCATCTGTTGTTGGTTAACGGGATAGAATGAAAGATTATGAGGAAATTGCAGGCGGTTTCCGATGAAAGAGAAATTCATCACAATTAGAAGCAATAAAATAATCTAAGAATAATAAATATCTAGAAGTCGCTTGTGGTTTTACTCCCTCCTCATAATCTACCTTCACATCTCCCTAACCAAAAGATAACTAATAGAACAAATTTTAGAAGCATGTTAAACAAGTGTTCCTAAGGTACGTATCTTCTCAATGAGCTTATTTATCTTAAAGCTATCGTTCCATGAATTTTCCAGATATACCAGGTAAATTTCAATGAAAATTGAGACCATATTTTCATCAGAAAACTTTGATTCTTTTATTTGTAATGTGAAATATTAGATTTTCTGTGTAAAAAGATATTATTAAATGAGGAAGGGAACATTTCAGTTTGACTAAAATGTGAAATTTTTATAACAAATAATTGTAATAGAGGTAAGAATTATTTAACTCAAATCTCAATATCTGATTACTGCTACTGACAATTTTAAAACTGCCTATTTTCCCAGTATGATATAGGAACATTCCGGTTTTTGTAAAAAAAATTGCAACTTTCTCTGACTATTTACCTGATTTTTGGAGTTAAAATAAAATTTCATGACAATTAAAGGTTTTCTCCCTGACCCATGGGAACCCTGTGACTGTGGGTTTCTGTCTAGAATTAATTTCATTTTTAGAAAATTAATCGGACAATCCAATGAGCTTTCTAATTTCCTTTATTATTCGAAAAATCAGCTAACAAAATGCTAAGATTTTGATTAAATTTGAGTTTAAAGTCATTTTCTCCTCTGTAGACAAACTAAATTTCACCAACCTTAAAGACCCTATTGCCGATATTAATAGATGGGACATTTATCAAATTTCTTGTCAGTGTGGTGTGGTCGATTATATATTGGACAAACTAAATGCATCCTTTAACTTAAACAGCATCAAAGATAAATGATCTTCAATTGCTCTACATAGTTTGAGTTTTGTTCTGCTAAAATCATTAAATGCAACATTTCATTTACTGAACTTGATTTCTGAGGAACAACTGCATGTTCTAAAAATTTAGTTCTATCTTTTTTCGAAATCTATTCTAATTTAATCTTTTGCTTCCTAGGGTTCTTGCAAAAACCCCTCCCACCTGTTTCTTTTTATTATCGTGTTCAAACTTGTTCTTCTGCTTTGTTTGGTTAACTCACTTTGCAAGACTTTATCTCTTTGCTTTTCTAATGTCATTTGGTAGTTATTTAGACACTGAGGAAGAAAACCTAACCTAACTAGAGAACAAAAACTCTATTTTATCCATTTCTATACTTCATTTGGGGTTGAATCAATTTTGTTCCTCTGATTTTCATACAATATTAGAATTAATCTTGTCAAAGGTTATTACGTATTTCCTCTACCGACATGCATAAAGAAATTTTGGTGGGTTTTAACTATAAAGTAAGTCAGATTTAGTTTTTGCAGGTTAAATATATAAGCATAAGTAATTCTTTGATATTTAACAAATAAGGAATGTTAATACTCTACTGGAACTGGTTTATCTGTAATATTTCAGTGGCGAATTTGTAAGACAAATCTCTGACAAGATTCTAACATTAATTTTTGTTATTTCAAATTTTCTAATAATAGAATTTAAAATTGATGAGTAAATTATTAAATCATATAATAACAATCCAGTAAATACACTAAAGGCAGCTATTGCTGAGGGGTTAAGTCTTCATAGTTTTGATATCAAAGGCTGCCTTTGCCTCCCACCAATTTTAAGCAGGATGGTCTTCAAAACTGTGCATGAGAGGGAACACCGATTCTTCACAATGACAGACTGCACTATTGAATGAATACCATCATTTTATTATAACTCTGACATCCGATTTTTTTAAACACATTCTGTTTAAAGCTCAGCACCACTCGTTTATTACAGTCCCAAATAGTTTCACCATTTATATTCTTGGTGAAATTTACATCTGCACGAATAAAAGAAAAGTTTCACTTTTCTAAGAGAAAATTATTATACACACCCTTTTAAATAAAACATTTTTTAGTGATAACATGCTAGAAACAAACTTATTCAGAAAATTAAAGCAATGAGGACAGCTTACTCGAATAATCTGGAAATTATGACTCCTTCTAGTATTCACCATCTTCTGTGGAAAGGGATTAAGCTCATTGAAAGCAATCTAAAAGGAAAAAATAAATTTGTTTAAATGTAAGCAACAACAATTACAAATATGAAACATGAAAACTAATAAATAGCAAATTTTTTTGAGCAATAACATAATAATTTTCAAAAACTCAACTGTTGAGTTACTATTACCAGTTTCCGAAAAAAAAAAAATCTGATCCTATTGAATAATTATACTGCAATAGTAATTCAGAGTTACCACTTAAATCTGGAGGGGAAAAAATCACTGTGTTTACCCTGTACATATTATACACAATATATTAAGAAGAAAAACACAATCACTGCACACTTATATGATCTGTATTGGGATAACTATACTAGTTATAATTTCTGAAAAAACTTTAGAGAAAAAAAAGAACAGCTGAACATACTTAAAACAAATATTGCTATGGTAAATAAAATGTAATATAGTTGAAATATCATCTTTAAATATCCCATAGGTTGCACTTTGAGTGAGAATAAGACAGAAATAAAATATAATGAATTTTTCCAGTTTTTTAACGAAAAACTCAAAATTCCCTGCACTTTTTAGGTTTTCCCTGTAGAGTGACAACCCTGAACAATTTCATTACTAAATTTTTTTAACAACTAATATGAAACATGGAAATCAATAAATTATAAATAGTAAATTTTTTTCAAGCAGTTTTGAATTTAACACTATTACCAGTTCAGGCGTCTGTTCAGACATTTTGTGAAAGGTCCGTTTTTGTAAAATTGTGAATATAAAATAAACGTTAAGTCACATTCATTCAACCAGGGTCCTGCTTTTGTGAATTTATGCAAATAGGGTCCTGTTATTGCAAAAAACTTTTTCAAGGAGTTTTTAAATTGTAAAGAGATACAAGATTATGCTCAACACTGTAAAATTATAATAAAAAAAAATTTAAATTTTAAAAAATAAACAGCAATTGCTGCTATTAAATTAGAGATGCTACATACAAATATTTGGCCTATTCTGCTGAAAGCAGAATATTCATTTCAGACGAATAAAGTAAGAAGCATCTGCCGAAAACAAAACTTAATTCGATTACAACTGTCTTCTCCCCCCCCCCCTGGGAAGGGTTTATTAGATTAATAAAACAATAATGAAGATAAACATATTTGCGAAGGGTCCGATTGAAAGATAAATTATTTTGTGAGGGGTCTGCTAACGAATCCAAATTTCTTCTTAACAAACCCGTGCAGCTTCCAAAAAAAAAAATTAAAAAAAAAACAAACAAAAAAAACAGAGTCTACTGAATAATTATACTGCAGTAGTAATTACCAAGACAAAATATTATCAATCAAAAAAGAAAAAATTTATAAAATTTAATGCACTTACATGTGTTAATTTTTTAATATCAACACATTCTTCTGCAATACTTCTCAAGTGTTTATTTAATGCAAGGTAGTCCTTAATTTGTAAAATTTCATTCTCAAAAGACTTCAGGAAGGCCAATGCGTATCGGAAGAGCACCTACAATAAAAAAAACTAACAATTTTCGGGAAAGAATATCATTAAAATGTGACAAATTAGTTTTGAAAAACAAATTACAATCCAATATTCCTTTTGCCTCGTATTTACAGAGTTTTACAAGGTGGCTGACAATAAATTTAACACTGGAAAATTAGAGGCTTATGTAATTTAGTCCAGCTTCTTATGTGTACTAGTATTCAGCACAAGTACCCATACAAAGCTAGAGCTTTTTGAAATGTAGCTCCAAAACAATTCAACATATACAGGGTGCGTAGCCAAATCTTTCAACAAAAAATATTTTTAAGTAATACAATAACAAAATACTCTTCAAAGACTTTACATGATCACGATAAAATACCTAGTTTCTGACATAGAACTTTTGCCTTGATTATATTAGCCATTATAAAATGATTAAGAGATGTTTTGGTTCTACATCAGAAGCTGGAAAATGAAGCCTAAAATTGAGAATATCTTGCAAAATGCAGCAGAGGTGCACACGAGAGTGCTAAAATCTCACCGTACCCAGCTTAGTAGATGCACATGCGAACTCATAAATATTTCATCAAACATGTAAAAGGATTGATGCTTTCATAAGCTAACGACCGACGGTACCCCGAAATAAATTGTGGTTGAATGAATTGTGAAAATGTTGAATAGAATAATGTGAAAAGCACACCTTAAAATAATACACAAAGACAATCCACTTTCCCTTTTTGAAAATGAGATTTTCGTAAAGGGAAAATTAAGCACTTTTTAAAAACACTCCTTGAAAAAAGCACCTTTAAGGGCTTTTAAAAAACGAAAATCGAAAATAAGCACCTTTAAGAACTTTTTAAAAACGCTACACACCATGATAATTCCTGTGAAATTTTAGTTACACAAACATGTCATTCAATTTATGCATTAGATCTTCATGGATAAAATTTGAACTATATAATGTTGCGAAAATATAATTTGATGTTTATTATTTGACATAAGCTTACCATTCTATTTCTAATTATTTATTTTGAGAAATCAAACATATTTGTTGAAAAATTGTACAAAAATTAAAAATAAAACCAATGTAAGTTCTATAAAATATTAAAAATATTTTTAATAAATTTAATTTACTTGAAAATAGAATGGCCAGAAATCCAAACACAATGAAAAGCACAAGTTTTTAAGCAGAACTAAGGCATCGCAAATCATGAATTTAACTCTAGGGACACTATGCAACAGAAAGTATAAAATTGGCTTCTAAAAATTTTGCAAAGGTAACTTCGATCTTCTAAATAAGACACAAGGTTAACTTGAATAAAAGGTCATTAATGATTATCTAATTATCACCATAGAAACTGACTCACCGTTACCTAATAACATTACAGCAGAAATATACTGCAACCAACTAAAAGAAATAATGCAAAAACTTCATAGAGAAAAAAAGCCTAAATTGGACAACAAATTGACTTCTAACTTATTGCATAAAAACCCTAGACCACATACTGCACAAACAAACCTGGCAAAACTGCAGAAATATGGAATTAGAATTTTTTCATAAACATTCACCAGAACTAATTTAGAAGAATTTTTTCATTCACCAGAACTAACACTTCAATTGATTTAGTTTTGCATGTATGCTGATTCTCTTTTTAAAGTTCTAAAAACATGCAAAGTATCTATCCGAAAAACTTTTGATTTAAAACATTTCATTCAATTTATATACATTACAATTTTAAACTGTAGTATCAGTATTCAGAGTAACATATTCTTTATTCTTACATAAACTTACAATATAAACTCTTAAAATGTAAGAGAAAAAAAGCATAGCTGGCACTCTTCAATCATGAAACTTATCTTATGAAGCATCATTAAAACTAAAGCAATATAGCTTATGTAACATAATTATGCACATAAAATAAAAATTTGTATGTTCAAGAGTTTTATAAAATTTAGACATAATTAAAACTGAAAGATAGTTGAATTCAAAGAAAAACTGTTTGTTTAGCTGCACAATTTAAAATTATCATCTGCACAAATTAATAAGCATAATTCAAGAAAGAATAAATATCTGTTTAAAGTGGGCAAAAACATATTAGATATTGTTTCCTTTTTCATGCTTATGACTGCTCTTGTACTTGATATTTCAGGCTGGTGTTCTAAAAATTAAGTGTATTTATAAGAATTTGTTTGGCTGTAACCCTACATTTTTGCCCAACTTATAACCCAGTTTGCTCTCAGCTTTTCGTTGTCCACACAAGAAAAAAAAATTTCATTCAGAAATTAGTGAATATGTACATCAAGCTTTTTGGTTTAGGGCTGTTAACTCACTTTATTTCAGGTCTTCATTGCCAATAAAAAAAAGTATAATAGGTTTTAATAATCTATCTACATACATACACATTAGTGTTTTTATATAAAGTAGTAAGATGTGTAAATGAGCACACAGATTTACATAATTTTGAAACTATATTCCAAGTGTTTACTTTAAAGATAAGTAGAGTCATGTGTGAAAAATCAAGCATTTTTAATGTTACTTTTTCTCAGTGCATGTAGTTTGATTTGTTTTTAAAATGTATTAGGTTTCCTTTTTTACTTAAGTCATTATTATTTAATAAGAGTTGAATCACTATTTTTTTGACATTCTAAATCTTCTATAATATAATTGTTTTAGTAATTTCGAATGATAATTGAACTTTGGTCAGTAACTAATTAAGATTTATTTAATTAATGTGTTTTTTTCTTTTGCATAATTTTTTGCGTACAGTGAAATTGTAAAGGTCTGTCAAAAACCAGTGAAAATACTGCTTGTATTTACTATTATATCTTCAAACAAATAACTAAACGCTAACGGAACTAAGAATGTTAGAAAAAGTTACCCATTTACATTTAAAATATTTGTACAAGAATAGCAATCACAACATTTAAAAAAATTCTGGACCAGAATATTAGTTTTAATACATTAATCATACAATTTATTTTTTTAATAAAAATAAACTTAGAAATTAGTTGCAGTAGAAATAGTTATTAAATCATAAAATAAACTCACCTTACTACCTTCGTATAAAAATACATCCCATATTCTCAAGTAAATTTCAGGTGGTACATTATCAACATAAATAGTAAGGAACCAGTTGAATGTAAAGAGCGATAAATCTACATTATTTTGCTCAAGATGAACATTTAATCTTGGTAATTTATCGGCCAGCAAATCCTTCAAAACTTTCTAGAGGGGAAGAAATATTAATTAGGTACAAACCATGCAAAAGCACACTACAATAAGTTTGTATAACTAAACAAATATCTTTACAATAAACTATTATAACTCAGAAACTTCTTAATACAATTTGTTCAAGTTTTTAAAATTAAATAATACTAATTTAATTTAAAAAACCGTGTATTAAATGGATAATTTAAAAATTATCAAAAGAAAAATATTTTTCTCTTATGGCAAGGGTGCCACTCCAAAAGAATTTTAAGACTGAACTTATTTTTTCACCAAATAACACTGTCTAGCACTAGAAGTTTCAGAAATGTATAGCAAACTGACACCAAAATTTACCGAACGGGATATCCTGGTTGGCAAAGCGCTGCACTCACCCGTTCATGAGAACGGGAGTTCGAATCTAGCCAGCCATGTAGTAAATGGTGACAGCTGCACGTTAAATCTGTCAGGTCATATAGTCCTCAATGTTTTGACAACAAATTATACCTCTAGGGGTACTGAATTGGAGATTTAATAACCATCGTTGATCAGCCGACCCGATTTCGGGTTTACGATTACTAATGTTCAACTCAGTAGCCTTGTAATCTTAAATCAATGCAGAAGACAAGGAAACTCCTGGATCAGTACCCTAGAGGTATTACTTGTTATGGGGTTATGGAGGACTTTGTGACTCGATCGATTTAATGTGGTTTAGTCACCATTTACTACATTGTGGAGTCTTCGGCCAGCGAGGATTGAACCTCTGACCTCTTGGGCATGGGCCCAGTGCCCTACCAACCAGGCTATCCCAACACTATAAATTTGATCAAAATATACCTGATCCACATGAGAGGCAATTAGAGTTGGAGTGTAGTATCCATCAGGCATTATAAACTTAATGATAGCCACTAAACACCAAAATGCATCTTCCTCATCCATAAATAACAATGCAATGGCTGCTAAACGATTTAATCCCTGTTTTAATATAAGAAATATGGTATCAGGGTTCATAGAAATCATGATTTATTTTTTAAAAAAAATCTTTCTTTTTCCATTAAAAAACAGATTTTTTATGCATGTATTAATCAAAGTTCTGATAAATTATGTTAGAAATGTTTTACATTATTTAAAAACACTACTATAACTAAAATAATTAATATTTCTAACTGAAATAACAATATAATTATTACAATCTAATCAATGAATAAATTAAATTAGAGTTATGTTTGTTTAAACTTACACCCATAAAATAAATTTGTAAAAACAAAGATCCAATTTGTTAGTTAAGACAAAAAATAAAGAATATAACAACTTAGATCAAAAAACATTAAAAAAATTAATCCAAATTAATTTTATCAGAGAAAGTTTCTCTCTATTAATCATATAAACTACAGATTTAATATAAGTTTTTATATGTATTTGTATTTAAAAAAAGGGGGTATATTTAAAATATGTTTATTAATCAAAGTATTTCACTTGGAACTAATAAACAATAAGGAAGTTTAAAAATTTAACATAAATTTTATCATTATTAACTCTTTTTTTAATATTAGATCTTTTACATACATTACTTGCTCATCATTTCTCTTAATAAAACCATCAATATTAATAAACTCTAACTAACTTACTAAATAAATAAAAAGAATCTTACAATTATGATTATTACAAGGTGTGTAATCAGCTTTTTCAACAAAAAATAAGCACCTTTTAAGTACTTTTTAAGCAATCAAAAAATATTTTTATGCACTTTCCAAAAAAAAGTTCTAATCAGGATTTATGCAGCAATAAAAATTATTTTTTGCTATCTTTTAAAGTTCTTAATTTATAAACATAAAATCAATAAAATTCAAAAGCATTTTTAAAAACTTTACATAATCATGATAAAACAACTAGTTTCTGATAAATATTGCAGAGAAATTATGGAAATCATGAATTTTTTGTAATTTAGAACGACAATCGACACGGCAAAGAAAAAATTAAAACATAGAAAATTCAGCACTTTTTACTAACCCGGAATAAAAAAAAGCACCTTTAAGGGCTTTTAATAAACGTAAATGAGCGCTTTTTAAAAACTCTACGCACCCTGTATTAATACTAAAGTATGTTAATGTCTGAAAATATTTAAATTATTACATTACTTACTTAAATTAAATTAAATGTCTGAAAATATTTTCAAAAATCAATGATCTAAGAAAAAAAATCTGGTGATTTAAATCAATGGATTCAAATCATGCGAACCTGCACAGTTTTAAGAGAAAATAAATGGAACTGACTTTAGAAATAACATTTTTACTGAAATGGTTTATCAAACTAAATACATATTTACAATAAGCATTATAGAAATTTAGCACTTTCATGCAGCTTTACGCACATTCATGTACGTTTATGTTCTGTGCTACACAGTAAATATAAAACACTATTCTCCTCAGATGTTGAAACAGAATATACAAATTTCAACACATGAGATGCTACAGGAAAGTGTTAAATCTTTTGGCAGTATGATAAAGTTGCAAAACACTTGCATACAAAAAATGTTTAACTGCCAAATATTACATTTACATGACAATTAAAAATTTAAGGTAATATTATATGTTTACTAAACAAAATATAATAATACAAAAATGTATATACCACTAAAGATCTAAAGCAATAAAATAAATATATACATAAAAAAAACCTTTTTGGGAGTAATAGTTAGATAGCAAAAATTCAATTAGCAGTTGAAGAAAATTATTTAGCTAAAAATAAAAACATCACGAAATCAAAGACTGAATTCCATTTGGAAACCCGAAGTTTGAAGCTGTGAATATGAAGGGAAAAAAAGTATAAATGATTTAAATATAATTTTTACCTGACAATATCCTACTACTGGATTATGACGGCTGTAAGCTAGCAAAACTCTTCGCAGTTTAGGAATACCATCTGAATCAAGATTCTCATAATGACGGTTATTTGGCAATGTGCGCAACAAATCAAGCTCAATCTGAAAACAGTTATACATTTAAATAGATGTTAACTCAAATTTAATTTTTTTAAAAATAAAAGTTTTAAAAAATTCAGTCGCAACATAAAACAAGCAAGATAATTACAGTTCTTATGTACTTTATAACTAAGCTCTCAAACAAGTAAATATGAAAAATATACAAATTACAATTATTCTGAAGACTTCACACATAAATCTTCAATAAATTTCGAAATTATTAGTTTGATTGATTGAAAAATTGATTATCCTCATCTATGAGCATTTTTAATAATTTTAAAATAAATAAAATATAACATTTAAGCACACATTCACAGGTAAAATTTGGCTTGGTATGGGTAAAAAAGTTTTAAGCTATAAAAAGTTTTAGAAGTAATATATCTTTTGCCAGAACCAGTGAAATTATAAACACAATTGAATTTTTAAAAAAAACAGCATTTACAACTTTAATGCTCTTTCGCAAAAATGTAATATGGTTATCATACTTGGGGTAAAAATAACAGTTAAAAACAATTTATAATTTTACAGCTATTTGAAGTGAATTTTTTGTTGTTGACACATTTGGAAAAACAATATATAATTTTTTTTCATACTTGGGGAAAATACAGTTTAAAACAGCCTATAACTTTATAGCTGTTTGAAAAAAAATTCAAATATTTTGTAGCATAAAATTGCTTTTTTCAAAATAGAGCTCAGTAGGTAAGTGACACTACAGTCGAGCTAGTAGAGTGACATCACATTACAGTCACACCAATCATGGAAGAAGTTTCAATGTGATGTCATAGTTTACTCTATCTTGTGACATCACATAGATGCCTCATTGACAATTTACTACACTGTAGATCCAATGGTAAACACTTTTGAAATTTTCTCCACTTTGGCCAATAACCTCTCATGGTAATGTCAAAGTCTTACTGTTATGTCGCCAAAGAGGAATATTGGCCCTATTTAAAAGTCATATTAACATCATACAGATGCAGCGCAACTTCATTAATATGCCACTGCCACAATCCATTACCAGTGTTATATTTCTTTACAAACTATAAGAAACATTAAATAGTTTGATTAAAACGTTTCATCTCTAGTGGCAAGAACAAAATTATCAGGTATGGGAAAAAAAGATATATTTTTTGCAGGGGTAGAAAACATATTTGTTTATTGATTTTTATTTTATTTTATAACCGTCCTTCAACCACCGACTCAATTTTAGAATTCACGACTACTAATGTTCAACTCTGTAGCCTTGTAATTTTGAACCCAATCCAGAAGACAAGAGAACTCTTGGATCAAGCATTGGGCGAAACTTGCCTTTGTGGAGGACTTTGTCATGAAACTAATCCGTATTTGCGTTACAAGGAGAGGAAAACCACGAGAACCTCCCACGGTTAGCCTGGCAGCAAGGGGACTCTAACCCATGATTCGTCTACCACTAAGGATATTTCAAGTCAGCACTGTGGTCAGTGCAAGACGGATGAGAAATTCATATCGACCAACCATCGCGGGGATTCAAACCCGGTTCGCCACTTTTGGAAGGCGAATGTTCTATCCCCTGAGCCATTGTAGCTCTTGTTTATTGATTGTTAAAAAGTGGGAAATAAATGTTTCCAGAATATGAATGTCAATGTGATGTGAAAAAAAATAGTAATGCAATTACAGCATTTACAAAGGATGAAATAAATTAAGAACCTGTTTTGATGATGGATCCAGTCTTGAGATAAAATGCTGTGAAGTGAGCAGACTCTTATAATAATCAGGTCCCAACATAGATTTATAATCTTTTATCCACATATTGACACAACTGAAAGAAAAACATTACAACTTAATATTTCATGGAGACACCTTAATTGATTATGACAGATTACTCCTTACAGGGTGTTTGCTACATTTTTAGATTTTCAAATTCATGACTTAACGAAGTTACTATTTTCTCTGACAAAAACATAACAATAAATTTAAAAAGCATTATAATAACATTCATTGAAATTACAGGTATAACCAAAACTGTTATACTCTGCATCCTCCTATTTATTGATTTTAAATTTAAAAAACAGTACAGAAAGAGTTGAAGCAATAAAATAGCTGAAAAAATACAAAAGCAAACAATTTTTTTCTGCAGAATTATATTCTAAAGATACTTTTCTTTTTCATCGTAAAGGAAAGAAATACTCCTGATTTTTTTGTTCCCATTTCAGAACAAAAAAAAATTCGCCAATGACTGGCTTGCTTCTGTTAGAATTTTAAATTGATAAAAAAATAAATAAATAAATAATAAAAATTCTGAAATCACAGAAGTTTAAAAGATAATTCGCTCTAGGAATGATGCTTTTCCTTCCATTTTCTGAAAGAACACCATAACTTTTAAAGAACATGATAAAAACATTTTATATTTTTATAAAATATGACTGTGAGTGGGGATTTTGTTACAAATTCAGATATTCAGAACACCATGAAAGGGGGGGAGTGGGGGGATAAATTCCATTTTTAAAAAAAATTTCGGCAACTTAAATCTATGACTTTCCATGATTTCTCATGACTTTCCAGGTGGGCAGACACCCTATCCTTATTGATGTTGATTTAATGTTTGCCTAATATATCCATTTTGATGCCATATAACACATTTTAATGTAATTTCATTTAAAAAAAAATGCAAATAGTGATTTTTATTGAGAGGCCTTACCCTTTCCATATCTTTCCTTTGTATTCATGGGGTACACCAGACCTAACAAGAACTTTTAGTTCTGGGGACCTCTGCAGTTCCTTGGTGCCCAATGCTACCATGAAGTTATCCCACTTGGCTCTCCACACTATCAACTCAGGATCCTAATAAATAAAAAATTAAAATGTGACAAATATTAAACAAGACTAAAATACATTTTCAAAAATATCTAAACATACTATTATTATAACTCACAAAATCAAAAAGGAAGTAACTCAATTCAACGTGTTAATATTTATAGTGAGTTTTTTTAAAAATAAAAAGTTCCTTAAATGGCAAGACTTTTCTTTCTTAAATGGCAATACATGTTTAAAATGCATGTACAGTATACTCTCGATATCTCGAAAATCTTGTTAAGTCAAAAAAATATTTCCCCCCTTGGCATTATATAGCCATGTAATATGAATTTGAATTCCTAGGTCGAAGAGTTTTTTCTCAAAACCTTGTTATGTCAAATTTTTTTCAAAATAAAAATGAATTTTTTTCCGGAAAAATGACAATGTAAAATTTTTTTCAAACAATTCTTTTCTATTAAATGCATAATTATTTTGTCTTACTTTTAAAAATAAAAATATCATTGTTTTATTTAGACTTATAGTCAGCTATCATTACGTACATATTAAATAGCAGTTATTAAGTTTCACGACTCTAATGGACTAATGGACAAGTTATCTCGAAAACTCACTATTGCGAAATTTTTTTAGCGTCTCTTCAACTTTGAGATATCGAGAGTACACTGTACTTAATCAATAACTTAGTAGTTTTATTCATTTTGTAAAAGCAGAATAACAAATAACTTTACCTTCTTCTGAGCTATATCCTGTGATTTTTGTTTGAAATTGGAGGCTTTTGAAGACAATATATCTTCTCTGCCCCATCTGTAGTTGAAACCTAATTCATCGTACAATATATCCCTGAAATTTCAAAACATTTGGACACCTTAATATTTCTAATTATGAAGTCAATAAATTTACTAACCATTACATTAAAAACAGAATAAATATTAGATACATAGTTAACATATAAAATACGCAAAAGTAGTACTCAAAACTTTGAATTACCTTGACCATGATGGCAACAAATTAGTGTGAACAGTTCCTTCACCCACGGCCTCTTCTAGGAGCTGGCTTATGGCATCACTGTTGAATTTCCCACTATCTACATTTCATTAAAAATATTAAAAGATATGAAATTTTTAGGCAGCTTACTAAAGAGGCAGCATAATTAGGGTTGCCACTCAAAACAGTAAAAAAAATTCCCTGTGTTTTCAAAGCACATATTATTCGCAATATATTATGAGGAAACACACATTCACTGCACTCTTGTGTGCTATACTAAGATAACGATTCTAGTTTTAGTAGCTTTAAAAAGCAACAGTTGCTTGAATAAGCAACAGCTCAACATAAAAGAAATAATTCTATAATAAATTAAATAATTTAATATAGCTGAACTATCATCTTTAAATATCCCATAAATTACGCTTTGAAAGGTCAGCATTTTTTAAAAGACAAAAATTCCCCGTTTTTTTCTCCAGTTTGTAAGGAAGAAATCAAAGTTCCCTACATTTTCCCTGTTATTTTAGATGATTTTTTAAATTCCCTGTATTTTTCATGTTGTCCCTGTGGAATGGCAACCCTGATAATGTTAGATTTACTAAAAGTGCTATACAGTGGAATCCCGACTTTACGTTTTTCGTCAGGCTAGCATTAAAAGGAGGCGGGAAAACCTAGAATCGGGGTAAAAAGATTCTAAGGATAGTTTTCAAAAAGTATCACAAGACTAATGGAATCTTTAATTGTTTTTAGACACAATTTTAATCCCTCTCAGCACTTTCAATTGTTTGCAAATTTACCTTTTGTTTTACATTACAGGGTTGCCACTCAAATCTGGAAGAAGAAAAAATTTCCCTGTAGATATTATACACAATATATTAAGAGGAAAAACACTATCACTGTACTCTTGTATGAGCTATATTGGGCTAACTGCACTAGTTATAACTGCTGAAAAAACATAAAAGTAAAAAGGAACAGCTGAACATATTTATAACAAATAATGCTAGAGTAAATTAACTAGTTTAATATAGCTGAAATATCATCCTTAAATATCCCATAGATTGCACTTTAAGTGGTTACCATTTTTTAAAAGACGAAAATAATAAACAAAATTCCCTGTATTTTCCCAGTTTCCAAAGGAAAACTCAAAATTCCCTGTATTTTCCCTGTTATTTTAGGTGATTTAATTCCCTGTATTTTCCAGGCTTTCCCTCCTGAGTGGCAACCCTGCATTTGCAAATAGATATTGTTTCAGTGTTTTTGCAACTTTAAAACTCTTGATCAGTAGTGCGTATATTCCTCCAACATGTTTTATTTACCTTCACTGCTTTCATCCCTACCATAGGTAACAGGCATTAAATCAAATATTGTAGGTAATGAAAACAAATGGCAAAGAACAAGACCAAAATAAAACAAACAGATAAAACATTACTCTGGTACTTTATAATCATAGATTTCACCTATCTTTAAGAGGTTGGAGAATACAGGGCACTTAAAACTTGAGGAATAATGAAAGAGTAGAAAAATATAGACAAATCTAATTTCAATCAACATAATTAAGGCATTTTTCTTATTTATACTAACAAAACAAAAAAGGCAACATTACCTTTTTATTACCTGAATTTTTATTATTATTCTATTTAAAAATAGTTGAAAAAATTTTGAATTCAAAGATATACCAATTTTCACATCATTTTAAAAAATGCAATTTTAGATCACAAAATTTGAAAGAAATTGTTTGAATAGCTCCAGAGAGAAATTAAATTTTGAAACAGTCATTAAATCAACATACAAATTCAAGATATAAGATCAAAAATCTGCATACCATTACACTTATTTTGTAAAGCTACAAAAAGATTTGCAAGATTTTTTTACTTGCTTATAAGTAATCAACATTCATACTTTTGTAAAAAACTTTTTAATGAAATTTTCACTTTAGGAAGATTAAATTTCTATTTCCACTACTCAAATTATCGCAATTACTGCTTATTTTTTTAAAAAATTTCAATAATAAGTTTAAAATATTTCTGTTTGTCTTGTTTAACCGATTAACACAAATCATTTCATTGATATATTGATGATTCTTTGGAATAAAATGAAATGATTTGATCACAATCATTTCATTTTATTCTAAAGAAAAATCTCCGAACTTCGTTAGTGACTAAAATTATCTTTTATTACTAAAATCATTATTAAAATAATCGTTAATTCATATGATTATTATGAATTATCAACATCCAGAAAAATTGCAATATCAAAAGAGGTGAACGATATTCTATTTAGAAAAAATCTCTCACCAGTTTTTTTCAATTCATTCAAAAGATACAAAAGTTTGCTTTGGATCTGATAGCTTCTAGCCTCCCATTCACTGCATTTCCTGAAAAACAAAACATACAAAACATATATTAGAAATAAAAACAGCTTTTTTTTCTCTCTATTAGAAAAATAAAGACATGCATTTAATGCGGCATGCATTTTTTATAACCAATCTTTCAGGACAAAAAAATATATAAATAAACAAAAAATAAACTGCTTTCATAAAATAGAAATTTAATTCAAGACATTGTGCAAAATATAGAATCTTAAGCATAGCGAATTAAGGATTCTAAATATGATAACAAAATTATACTAAAAATTGAAAAATCAGGGTGGCCAAAAACACTTAGGGAAAAACACCGCTGACCAACACCTCCTAGAAGAGAGAAGGCCTCTGCACGGATTAAATCAGCAGTTCGACATAACAAGCATAAACTGTGCAGTAGGGTACATAAAAAAGATGTCCTTAAGTTTGGGCTACAAAGCTGCACAGTGGGGAGAAAATACAAAAGATGTCATTGCATTTGAACTACTAAAGGATAAAATTTCTTGTTAATGGTCACAAGTGCTGAGGCCTTCTTACTGGTCTTGCTCAGATTCTTTTATTTTTCCAGACTGATTTCATCAAATTTTCCTGATTTTGGTTAACTGGTGACAGAAATGTTATTAATTATTAATTAAGTTCCCTGACATTATTCTGATCAATTAAGATACAATCCTAATGGTTTGATAGCTTTACCTTAAATAGCTAATTAATAAGTGCAGATATTTCAAGTTGCAAAATTAGTCAGGATAGTGAGTGGTAAATGTTTAGGTCTCATAATATTGCATATTTTACCATATCTTTAGAGATTAATTTAAGTGATTCAAAGGATTTTTGTACACTATTATAAAACTTGTTTATCTAAAGTTAATTTGATGCAAAAGAAAAAATACTTTTTTATAATTTCTTTCAGTATTTAATTTAATAATGGTCAAAAACCTTTAAATTGTCAGTCATACAAATGTTGGCACACTTTTAAACTATGTAATTTTAAATGATAAAATGCAAAATTAAGAGCACAATCGATCAAATTACCCTCAAAATAAATTTTAAAAATATGATCTTTTTAAAATGCCATAACTCAGAAACTATTTGGCTTATTTTGCTGAAATTTTCTATTTTATCATTACAAATAACTAAATTTAAAATGATGCATAAAATTTATTACTTTACAATTCAAAATGTTAATAATCATTAATAAATTTAATATTAAAATTAATTATAAAAATTTACATTTCACTTCAAAAATCTTTGACAAAATGTGTTTTATAACTATTTGTAAAAATTGTTTGTTTCACTACAGTAATTTCAGAGCTATGGCAAATTAAGCAAAACATTAAGAGGATTTAACTTTCAGTTGCTCTCTTGACTTGACCATATTCCCAAGATTGCCGCAAATTTGAGGGTCACAAATTTGATTTTGTAGGATGGATTTATTCAAAGAGAGTATGTCATTATGCTAAAATTTGTAGCTTAAAACACCCTCAGCACAAATTAGTTCATCATCATCATCATAGTTGGCCAGACAGCACAATGTAGGTAAATGCCTTCCTCTGAAGCTTTCTCCATAATGACATCCGATTTATCTTTGATCTCCAATTCTTTTCATTAATTACAAGAAAATCAAACTCCACCGAAACAGCCCATCTCAACTGCTGTTCCAGTGGGTCTAAAAAGCAATATCTTTTTTATTGTATTGTCATCACTCATTCGAATTACGCGAGCCATCCAAATAATTCGATTTATTTTTATGTATCTAATGATATCAGGATGCTTATAAATCTTGTACAGCTCAACACCACTTAGTATACTCTGCAAAATCTGTCTCTCAAATATTGTGATACAATTTTCCTCCACTTTAGTCATTATCCAAGCTTCAGAAGCATATGTCAAGACTGGCTTGACAAAAGTTTTAGAAAATTAGGGTTCTGACTAGGTTTCTTCCTCGAAGAACTTTGTTTTTCTAGAAAGAAACCTAGATTTAATAAATCTACTCAGCCCTATTAATTAATATAAATTCAAAACTAATCAAGATTGTATTCAGGTACATGAAATCTGATCAATTGCTCATAAACTAATGAGATATATTCCATTTCTTATTTTGCGGACCTTACAATGAAAAAGAGCAGAATTACTTTTGAAGTTGCACTTACATAGACACGAGTTGTACTCTTTCATCAGCATCAGCTCTTAATTGATTGAGCTCCAGTATCTCATTGTTAAGAAACTTATTTTGAAGTTCAAAAGCATCAACAGCAGCCTGTTAAGAAAGAAAAAATTATTTAAAATAACAAGTAAAAAAATGTTCTTAGCAACAAGGTTGGTATTTTGTCTGGCAGAAACCTATAGTTTGTCTATGGTAAGAACTTCCCCTGCAATGAAGTCTGAGGCTGTCTCTTGCTATGGAAACAGAGAGGGTAGATTCTCTCCACTCTAAGGCTAACACAATAGACCGAAGAAAATTATTCTCCGTTTCTAACCGACATGACCCAAAACATGTTTTAAGCAATGAACCCACACCACTACTTGAAATAGCTATATCTCGTTACCATCGTCACCACCATCGGCCCAGACGAATGGGTAGGGCAGTTCGTACTTTAGACAAACTATATTTCTTCCAAGGCTTTGAAGATGACAAATACAAAAGGATTCCTCTTAGGAGCAAAAAAGGGCAGAGTGCTTCCTTACAGAAAAGGACACTGAGTATTTAAAGTGTGAGCACTTTACAACTGTTAAATTTGATCAAAACGTGTAATAATTGAATTCGACTCTCAACAATGCTTACACTATTTCATGCTTATATTTCAAGAAGAAATTCTCACTCATTATCAAAATTACAGAAACATTTAAAAAATTTTAGTAAAAAGTAATTAAAGGCATGCTAAAAGACAATCTCTTTGTATAAATTTTCTATCAAAAAATTATCAATTGATAAACTTGAAACATAATTTCTTATATTTTAAACTAAAAATTATGATAAAATGAACATGTAAAGGTGTACTTTTAAATATAGGTTTTTATTTAAAAATAAATAAATAATCGTAAAATTTAAAAGCAATAATTAAATGCAATAATTATCTTACTTTAAGAAATTAACAATAAAAATCAAATTACCAGAATCTTTGCAAGTTTTATATAAAAAAAAAAAAATTCTGAAAATTTTATTTTGCATTTTTCTAATACAATTTTAATCCTTCTATGCCAGTCTCTCAGTGTATAATCATTGTCAAACATGAAGAAAAAATGCATTTTCATATAAAAGCACAAATTAATACTTAAGAGTAGGAAAAAAAAACAATGCTAATGAGAAAACGCAGAGGGAAAAATACCAAAACTAGTTTGATTGCCAACCTCTAGGGTTTCTTCACCAATCAAACAGACATTACTGTTTTCAGTTCTGCTTTCTGAATTAAGTGGTTCTTAAGTTTCATGACTGCTTAAACATTAAATACATGGGTGCCACTCTAAAAAGATTTCAAGACTGAACTTATTATTTGACTAATTAACACGGTCTAGCATTGTTTACCAGAATTTTCAGAAATTTAGAGCTATTCGACTCCAAAATGCGCCTTTCTATGATAATGGCTTGTATATTAAATCAATAATTTGCTTTTTCTAAAAAAAAAAAAAAAAAAACTAAACAAAACTAAACCCTCTCAATTTTATGAATTTATTTTTCACAGCAAAAAAAATTGCAGCACTAATCATCTTATATTGATGATAGAGTAAGAACACTGATATAAACCAGCATGGGTGCCACTCTAAATATATTCCGAGACTGAACTAATTTTTTTGATAAATAAACACAATCTAGAGTTGCTTATTAAAATTTTCAGTAACTTATAGCTCATGGACTTCAAATTGTATCTTTCTGTAATACAGACTTATATATTAAATCAATTAACGAGTTTTTTTTTTTCAATTTATTAATTTATTTTTATAGCAAACAAGATAATATTAACAGCTAACCTTATACATCTTTTTACATCAATCACTGAATAATAAAATACTAATGTTTTTATTTTTTCTATACATATCTCTACTTATTTTTCACTTCATTATTAATTTTTTGTCCTATCTCAAAAAAAATTTTTGTTTACAAAAATTATAATAATCTCAATTTAACTTTGGCCAGCATTTCAAAGCGTTAGGAAAAAATAAAAAGAAGAAAATTTAGATACAACAATAGTACAAATTTTGTTTAAGCAAGCAAGCGTTGAAGTTCCATCTGATTCTTTCATTAATGAGCTATATCATTACTTGGATTATTTCACAAAAATTATAAAAATTACCAATATTTACATTAAAATGTAATTTTTATTTTTATTTAACAGAATTTTCTTTTATATTTTTAAGGAAAAACAGAAATTTTAACATTAAAAAACAAATGGAAAAGAGATATTAATTTATGAAACTTAATCTACTAATTTTCTCTCGAGACTGATTTCAGTCCACAGGACTGAAGAGTCGTATCCATGTAAACCAGTAGCTTTTTTCTACAGCCATTCATTTCTTGATTTTTCATTTCAACATTACTTTTATCCTAGCTCTATAAATTTATTTTCTTTAAAAAAATTGCAATTTAACTTTGGATAGCATTCCAAAACATGGCGGGAAAGAAACCAGATCAAAAAATCAGGTCAAATTTGTATTTAAAAATAATACAAATTTTGTTTACACAAACGAATGAAGTTCAGTCAATCCGATTCTTTTATTGAGGTGCTGCATTAACACTTGATCATTTAGCAATAAATATAAAAAAGAACGTTTTCATTAAAATTTATTTATTTTTTATTACTTATTTTCTTAACTGAAAATATTTGTCGAATTTTAAAGGAAGTAAAAGAAAATTTAATTTAAAAAACTATTGAGAAAGATATACTAATTGATGGAATTAAGCCAACTGATTTTTTTTTTTCAAGACTGCTATCAGTCCCCATGACTGAAGAGTGGCATCCATGTAAATAGCATTTCCCAATCTCGAACGTTGGCGACTTCATTTTATTTAATAAAAATTCTGAAAATATATCCTACAAGTGGTCATTGTAAAACACCCTTTTGTACATATAAAAACTATATTCGGCCAGTAGGAGATTTAAGAAAACTAAGAAGAAGAATATTTTACTCTAAGGTCATCAATATCCATTGTTTCCTTTGGTTCTACTACAGTGCCCTCTGGTGACAGTAAAATGCTGCCGCTGCTCATTCTTCTCAGCTCATCTTGCTTATCAGTTTCTAATTCAAACACTTCATTTGTCAGTGTCATAATAGTATTGTCTTTTTGAATCATCATTTCTTGAAATAATTCGTTATTTGAAAGTAAATCTTTAACATCCCGCTGCAATGATCTGTAAAGCAATTTTGAGGGTATTCATTTAAAAAAAATCAATTTATTCAAAAAGTTATAAACAAAAACAAAACACTTCTGAAAGGACATTCTAAGGATGTTGGACTAAGGCAGCTGTAGAGTAAATTTTTCACCCAAAAATACTTTCAAATTTAACAAATATTGAACTTTTATTTATTTTATTTTTCTATTTTATGGTTTTAAAATTTTTTCATGCATGAAATTATTAATATTAATTAAAATATTATATTATTATTAATAAAAATATATTATATTATTATTAATAAAAATATATTATATTATTATTAATAAAAATATATTATATCATTATTAATAAAAATATATTAAATATTATTAATAAAAATATTATTATTTTAAATGACTTAGTCTTAGTTGGTTTTAATATTTTTTTTCATAAAATTAAGTTATATTTTTTTTATCAATACTAATACACATAGTAAATACTCATATAGCCAAAATTTTAATGATTTGTTTTAATGTTGATTAGAAAACAGAAGTAATACAAATTTTATGATTTTTCTAATTAATTATATATAACATTATTTTTTATTATGTGATTAATTATTTTTTATTAATATAGAAATAACGAAAACGAAGGAAATAAATATATGATCACTGAAGCCGATGTCATCAGGGGTTACCAAGCTCGGAAGCCGTAAAACAAAACCTTTTCTATTGAGAGAGAGGCCAAATTAAATGCCAAAATTAACTCTCTCAGTACCCAGAAGGTTTTGTAGAAGTCCAGGAAAAAATACATGAAATACGTAAAACCAATATAGAAAAGAAATTCAAGCAAAATCTTGAGAAAATAAAAACTCACATTAAACCGGTCAAACAGCGATTTCACAAACAAACTAAATGCAAAGGAAAAACTTAAAACTAAAGAAAACAACTCCCTCTATTAAAATGTGCAGAATGAAAAAAAAGAAAGAAGAGAAGTAAAAGAAAAGATAACGTAATAAATTTATATAATGCTCAACTAGGGCTGCTCAGTTAAGACTTGAATTGCGCTCTGTTAAAAGAAATAAAAAACTAGTATTCTTCAATCATTTTCTTAATCAAAAAATTTATATTACGAAAGTTAAAAGGAAAATCATTATTACTCAAGTTATTCAAAAAATTATTCACAGCCTCCTGAAAACTTTCAACATTATTGCAAATATTTTTCATCCTAACCAATTGTGAAAAAACTAAATTAATTTAGTCAAAAAACTAATAATAACTTCAGAGGCCTGTACCCCCTGAAGACGTCGGCTTCGGTGGTCATATTTTTATTTCCTTCATTTTTTTTATTGCCATATTTATTCCTTCTTTTGAAAATTCTGCTGCTTTTAAGTGCGTTTCTTTCAAAGATAGTTTTGTCAATTTAGAATTAAATATTTTGTATTCTTTTGCTACTTTTATTATTTTTTATTAATTTATTATAAGGAGGTGGAACACTGAGGATATTTTACATCAGCACTGTGGTCAGTGCAAGGCAGGTGTAGAATTCGTATTGACCAGCCATCACCGGGATTCGAAAATCGGTCACCTCAACGGTAGGTGACCGCTCCATCCTCTGAGTCACCATGGCTTCAACATCATACATATATATTTAACTGTCACTGAACAGCCAACTCAATTTTCAGTTAACAGCTACCAATGTTCAACTGCGTAACCTTGTAATTTTGAACCCAATCCAGAAGACAAGGGAACTTCTGGATCAAGTATTGAGAGAAATTTGTCTTCATGGGGGACTTTTTGATGGAACTAACCACCATTTGAGCTACATGGAAAGGAAAACAACAAAAACTTACTTTGAGATTTTGATAAGCCTGTTAAGTAAAGTAATATGTGTCACTAGAATAATCAAGAGTATACTTACATAACTTGCCTTTGTAGTTCTTCAACTCTCTGTTGCTGTTCTTGCAGATCATGTTTAAGATTGACTATTTGGCGGTCTTTATCACTTATCATATCAACCGGCAACTCACTGTTTTTCAGTTGGTATATTTGAATTCTAAAATAAATTCAGAAAATTTATGAATAGAAAACACAAAATTTGCCAAAATTCACATTTTTTGAATTTTGGTAAAAAAATGAAATTGAGGTAAAAAAAAAAGTCATACAGCTGACAATATTTCAGTTTTACGATCCAAGACAGAGAATATTTCTATTCTAACATTTTCTTGCAATGCTGTCGATGGTAAATGCCACATAACCAAAGTTAACATCTAAGCAATCACACTATTTTTAAAAATAATGTATTGTACTTAGAAGATTAAATGTGTAATTTTACAAAATATAATAACAACAAAAATTATAATTATAATTTTTTGATTCTTAATTCTTAACAATTCTTAAACAAAAATTATAATTTTTTGTCACTGTTGTTAAGCAGAAGTTGCAAATTTCCAATTAAGTAAAAATTTTAATCCTAAGATTTTGCATCTAAACAATTTGTATTTATTTTCAATAAAGTAATATTAAATAAGCCAAGCATTTATCTGAAAGAGGAATCACAAAAACATTGCAAAAGTTTTTGTGACAAAGACAATAGGTGTTCAATAAAGATGGGTTAATGCTCACTTTTGAAGGTGGCAGATAGACACTCCAAAAGTATGCCTCTTCCCCCCCCCTTTCCAGTTAACAGTTATAAAACATGGTCTGAGTGAGGATTTTGTTACAAATTCAGATATTTGGAACACCATGAAATGGGGGTGTGTGATAAATTCCATTTTAAAAATTAGATTTTTTGGCAACCTAAATCCATGACATTACATATTTTTTTATATAAAATAGTTAAAATCATGACATTTCATAAAAATTTTGTTCAACACCGAAATTCATGACTTTCCATGATTTCTCATGACTTTCCAGCTGCGTAGATATCCTGGATAATTTACGGAATAGTTTATCTTCTTATATTTGTAGTTCCTTACCGTTAATATCTGCGAAAATTGCTAATTTTTAAAAAATGTATTTTAATTTTGAAAAGAAAAAAATAATTCGGCATTAATTACGAAGATCCATCTAAACAATAACTTGATTCGGTCTAATGATGGATACATAGCCTTTGTGCTGAGAACAGCAGCGGTCTAATGGGAATAATTTTAGTAACATAGAGGCCAATTAATTAAAAATCAGGTAACTTAGAGGTTATTCACCCTGTATATTGCCCCTATTACAGTATTATAACAAAAACAAAATAAATTTTTAAAAAAAGTTGATCATAAACTTCATAAGTTTGAAATTTTTGTATTTCTGCAATATTTGCTAATTTTTTTTAAAATCTACTTTGATTAGATGGTCAAAGGAAAAAAAACTTACAATGATTCTTTCTCTTTTGAGGCAATATCTAATTGCCTCTGCAACAGAGATCGAACTTCTTTGCTAGCTGTCAATTCATCCTGGAGGTTAGACAGTTCTTCTTCAAGCGACTCTACCTGCTGGACAGACTGAAAACAAATTTATATTAGTTAGTACAAATTGGAAGCAACAAAAGCTTCTTCAGTTTTTTTTGTAAAAAACAAAATTCATACATTTGAAATAAAGTAAAAAATTCAAAATGCCATAATCAAAAAAGTCTTAAAATGAATCCCATATCAAAAGAAAAAAAAATTAAACATCTTCAAACAAATATGTATAATAATTTAAGTGTAACAGCTAAAGGGCAATTTTCAGGGATAAGTTTGGTAAAAAAAAAAGAAGCTGAAAATGGAAATGTAAAATGTTATGAACACATTTTTGAAAAATTGGTAAAAAATACCTGAAATTTGTGCAAGAAAAAGGTGTATGTAATAAGAATATTATCAAGAATATATCAGCAGAATATTATCAAAGTTTTAATAAAATATATCCATGAGTGGTTTTTTTTAAGTTGTGAGAATATAAATCTCAGTGTGTGTATTTAAATTGCGTTAATACGAATCCTGATGTGAGGTTTTTAAATTACGAGAATATGAATGGGCGATGTGCAATTTTCTCAAGAGAACAGAACACAATGTGTAATTTTTAAACAGTGTGAATAAGTATTGCAATGTGTACTTTTAAATGGCGTGAATTTGAATTGCAAAGTGCGAAAGACGAGCAATTACTTTAAAAAATAGTGTGCACACGAATCTCGATGTGAGATTTTTAAATCAAGCGAATATGTATCGGGATGAGATAATTTTAAATCTAGTGAATACGAATCGCAATGTGTACTTTTAAATTATGTGAATACGAATGCCAATGTGTTGCGATAATAATTTTAAAACGCGTTTACATAGAAGAAAAAGGAGCCTTTTATAAAATTCCTAGCATTTTCACTGTCTTTTTAGATTTTCTTCTTCTGTGGCCCTCCAGGAGTTAACACAAATAAAATTTTTACCCTAAATCTTGAATTTTCCCTTATCAAAATACTGACAGAGTAATTAAATATAAACAATTACACATAAAAGCATATGATGATCATAGAACTTATAATTAACAGATCTCTTTTGAATTAAAAATAATAATAAGTAAACTGAACCGAACACAAGACAATTATATTAGAACGTAACAAGAACAAATATTTATGTAGATTTGAAAAAATGCCTGTAAAAATCATTGGTAGATGGTGTAAAAACTAAGCAACTATACACAAATTTATTAAAACTTATCACAAATGGTTGAGTAAATTGATCTAATGATTTTTTTAGAAAAAAATAAGATAAAAAATCATTGTCGAAACAGAGGCAAATTAACAAAATACGACAATAATGTAACCACTGGAGCCATAGTGGCTTAGAGGATAGAGCGATTGCCTTCCAATGAGGTGACCCGGGTTCGAATACCAGCTATGGAAGGTCAACACGAATATGAATCAATACGGATACAAATCATGGGTTAGAGTCCCCTTGCCGTTAGGCTAACCGTGGGAGGTTTCCCTCTCCGTGTAACACAAATGTGGGTTAGTTCCATCAAAAAGTCATCCACGAAGATAAATTTCTCTCAATACTCTTGTCTACATCTCTTGTCTTCTAGATTGGGTTCAAAATACAAGGCTACGGGGTTGAAAATTAGTAGTCGTAAATCCAAAAATAGGGTCGGCTGCTCAATGATGTTTATAAAATTAAATTTATCTAACCACTGTAAAACAGTGACAAAATCTGATGACATTTTACCACTGGAAAACAGTGGTAAAATTTTATTATTGTTACTAATTAAATTTTATGATTGTTTAACGAAATCTAGTTAAACAAAATGAAAACATTTTTAAACTAAGATACTCATACCTGGCAACATTGAACAAATAAAATAATGGAGATTCTGCTAGCAAAATTTTCTAGGTTACGAGTAACGTTTTGATACATCATGATGATGATCATTTGATTGTCAAATAGAGAAATTCAAAATTGGAAATAATATAAGCACTTACATTTAGCAAAGTAAAAAATATGTATAAAAATCTTAATCTGAAGAAGAGTTTTGAAACCATTATTTATAATTACTTAAAATATTTTATTTTATAACCGTCGATGAATAGCCGACTCTTTTTACGACTACTAATGTTCAACTCCGCAGCTTTGTAATTTTGAACCTAATCCAGAAGACACATGAACTTCTGTATCAATTATTGGGAGAGATGTGCCTTCGTGAGGAACTTTTTGGTGGAACTAACTAGCATTTGCTAACAAGGAGCAGAAAACCAGGAAGATCTTCTTGACAGCAAGGGGACTCTTACCCCGGATCTGTCTACCATTAAGGATACTTTACGTCAGCACTGTGGTCGGTGCGAACCGAGTGAGGAATTCGTATTGACTAACCATCTCATGGATTCGAACCCGGTTCGCCTCATTGGAAGGGAAATATTCGCTCTATCCCCTGAGCCACCACTCAACTTACTGCAGTGCTCTCATTAGCAACAGCTGTTGCAGAATAAGAGAAGTACGTTTGCCACTAGTGGATATTTTATCGCCAATTTTTTTTAGGTACTTCAACAAATACAGAGAAATTTGAGAATATACTGGTAAACAGGAGATAGTCGTAAAATACAGGAGTCCTCTTAAAAAAAAACAGAAGACTTGGCAGGAATGGATACTTACAGAATGTTACGCATGGGTTCTTAACAAAATATTGATGAAGATTGCGGAAATGGTTTTCATACCTTACGGCAGGACGAGCAATTTGCTTTCTCTGCAGCGTTCATGTCATCAATTTCACCTTCAGTACGTGATTTGCGAAATGAGTTTGAAAGTTTCAGCTTGAAAGTGGACGATAGACTTGGAGATTTTGTAGATTTGTGACTAGACTCTCCATCAAAACTTTCCCTCTTTGAGCTGGGTGTAAAGTGATTGTCTTGATGATTATTCTCTCTAAGAGATGTTAATGAACCTTAAAAAAAATAGAAATTTAAATTAAAAGAGTAATGATGCTGTGATTAGGGCCCTAAAAACTGGGCCGATATATTTCTAAAGTTCTGTGACAAAGATTCAGCAATTTTTTAAAATTATGCAGACAGGTTAGAGATAATCTAGGAAAAAAAATTAAAAAAAATAATAATTTGGAAAAAATAATATTTTCCATTATCTTTCCTTGCACAATTTTTGTAATATAGTAAAGATCTTAACTTAAGCTATTATGTTTTATATGAATATTAGGTAAGTTAGATTTTTAAAAAAATCTATAATAATTAAAACAAGGAGGAAAAAAAGAACTTTTATTTTTATAACCTACAAAACTAAAAAAAAAAAAAAAAAAAAAAAAAAAAAAAAAAAAAAAAAAAAAAAAAATCAATTTGGAAAGAAAAAAAAACAGTTTTTATTTCTTTTCCTTGTATGACTTTGTAATAATTAACTTAAGCTATGATGTGTTATATGAATATTAGGAAATTAATATAAACTAAAATTCTATAATATTTAAAACAAGAAAAAAAATACATTTTAATTTAGTTTTTTGACTGTTTAAGTTGTTTTCTAGCTTATCCACAACAATTGTAGGATAATTTTAAAAATATTTCTGCACAATCTATGGAGCTCTAAGGATACTGAGCCTACTACATTATAATAAGCACATTCAGTACTGTTTGTCTACGATAGGTACTCTGCCAGACATTCGTCTGGAGCTGTGGCGGTGACTATGGTAACGAGGTATGATTATTTCAAGTAGGGATACGGGGTCCCTCTTTAGGACTGGTTTCGACAAAAGAAAAGGAGACCTCTTCATCGAAGTCACCCTCCCTAAAATGCTCTCTTCTTGTTTCCATAGCACCAGTCTTAGTGGCAGTCAGAGTACCTCTCTTAGACAAACAGTAAGAAATTCTGTTTACAAGTACAGAAAATTAACATAGTTCTTTACAACTTTTAAAAATCACAATCTAACAGTAATAACAAAATATATTAACAACTTTTAACGTAACTTTAAAATATTTTAGGGAACGTTTAAATCTCATGCAGTCTGTCCCCTGCATTAAAGTAGTAAAATATAACAATCTTATATTCTATACTCTTTACGATTATCCTTATTTGAAAATCTCTTCAATTATAGCAACCATTACAGAGGGCACAATGTTATGTTGGCACCTTTTAAAAAACCCTGCATTGATCCATTTATTCCAATATAGTTACTGAAATTTATTTTAATTTTTTTTACTTATTCCCATAAAAATCAGCTTGATACAAAACGTCAAACATTTTTTTCACTTTAAAAACAAAATGCTTTTACTGACATTACATCATTTGATCCAGTAAAAATGTCTAAGGAATTATTTAAGGCATTCTTTTGATTTACACCAAATTTAAAATTAAAGTGAGTAACATAACCTACGAGATTTTTGTGGTTATTACGAGATTGTTAGGTGGATGAGTTAATTTCTTATTTATGAGAGGATATTTATTGTATTTTTGTATTTTCACCATATAATACAAATATCAAAAATTTTTTCACTTTATGAACAAAATGCTTTTACTAAGACAATAAGTCATTTGATTTAAATGTTTGAAATGAATTATTTAAAACATTCTTTTCAAAGGAATTATTTAAAGCATTCTTTTCATGTAGACCAAATTTGAAATTAAATTGAGTAACATAACCTACTAGATTTTTGTCCCAGGTGAATGAGTCAATTTCTTATTTATGAGAAAATAGTTATTGTATTTTTGTACTTTCACCAAATAGCAACCTCACCTTTTTGCTCGAACGAAAGGAGTTGTTAGATCAAAGGTCGACTTTATCATATAACAAAAATGTGAGTTTCTATTAATAATCAAAATTAGTGTATTGAATTTTAATATAAAGCTAATATACATAAAGGTTAGCAAGAGAAATTTATATAGACTTTTATGCTTAGAGGGTTATGCTCAGTTTTTCTAAAAACAATTTCGTTATTTTTTGGATCAATATTCATACCTGCTAACATTGGAGAAATAAAATAACGGAGATTTTACATGCAAAATTTTTTGGGCTATGAGTAAAGTTTTGATACATCATGCATAATCACGTAAGTCAAAATTGGAAATAATATAAGCACTTACATTCAGCCATGTAAAAAATATGTATATTAATCTTAATCTAAGAATAATTTTTAAACCATTATTTATAATTACTTAATTTATTAACTCTCAACATACTCCAGTACTGGCAATAGCTCCATCTGTTGAGAAATAAGAAAAGTATTTTTGCCATCAACAGATTTTTTATCGACAAATTTTTAAAAAAAATAAAAATTCCAACAAACACGGGGAAAATTGAGAATATATGGGTAAACAGGAGATAGTTGTAAAATACAGGAGTCTTGGTTAAAAAACAGGAGACTTGGCAGGTATGAATATTACTTCCTGATTTTGTTTGATTAGCCTACAATTAAATACATAGCTCTCCACACTAAAATTTAGTGACAACGACAAAAATAGAATATGAATATTCGTGAACTATACAACTCACCATCTTGAGATGATTTGTCATGTTTTGAAAACTGAGCAGATTGTTTTATTTGATTGTAAAACACGTTCAACTTCTGTTGAGCAGAGACAAGAGGACGGTCTTTGTTGTGAGCTGATTCATCTCCGATGCAGTCAGTTGGGCAACATACGGGTGACATTAAAGACCCTTCACTTCCTTCGTCCAAACAGAGTGGATTTAGGGAGTCCTTAGCAAGTAATCCACTTTGTGGACGCTGAAAAATGAAATTATAATGAAAAGAAAATTATAATATCTTTTCAATCTTTCTTTTTGAACAAAATTGGGCAGTAATATAAAATGAAATTTCAATTTAAGTGAGAAACAATATCAGTATAGTGTATTTTTCAAAATAATTCTTAAGACAATTTAATTATTAGGTAATAATGACAGAAAATATTTCCACCAGAGCTGAAATTAAGGTCAAATTTACTGCATTGGTAGCAGAATTTAGGCAATCATACCTGCCAACATTGGAGAAATAAAATAACAGAGAATTTACTAGCCATATTTTTTAGGCTACAAGTAAAGTTTTCTTGTAGCTATCATGCATAATCATGTAAGTCAAAAATAGAAATTCAAAATTGGAAATATAAGCACTTACATCTAGCAAAGTAAAAAATATGCATATAAATTTAATCTAAAGAAGATTTTTTTAAACCATTATTTCTATAATTACTTAAACTATAAACACACATCATCTGCAGTAATAGCACATTTTGAGGAATAAGAGAAGTATTTTTGCCATCAGTGGATATTTTATCAGCAAAGAAAATGTTTTTTTTTTTTTCAAATTTCTTCAACAAATACAGAGAAATTTTAAAATATACAGGTAAACAGTAGATAGTAGTAAAACACGGGAGTCTCCGTTAAAAAACAGGAGCCTTGGCAGGTATGCGGAATGATTCTACAGCACAATACTAAAAACTTCCTTATAAATTTAAATTTGTCAGTGACCACAAAGATTGTTATTGAATAAATTCAGCTTAATCAAACATACTGTAAAAAAATTTACAAAGATAAGATCTTTAAAAATTATACATAAAGGCCTAGTTGTATGTATTTAAGTTGAATTTTTAAAAAAATGGAATAAATCTCTATACAGTTAAGCCTGTAATCAAGTAATAGAAAAAAGTCTACTTTTCTTTTGCGATGTTCTGTCAATTTAGCTTTTCAATATTTATTAGAAACAAGTTTAGAAATATTTTAAAAGTCTAGTCTAGGCAATTCTTTATTTGCTTTTAAAAACAAAGAGATGGTGTAATAATTTGCAGCACCTGCCGTCTTTCTGGAACATTTCTGCTACCAGACTGCAGGGTACCAATGTTTTTTCTTCTCTCTCTCTCTCTCTCTCTCTTTTCGAATGCAGAAAATAATCAGAATATCTTAATTATTTTTGCTATCACTAATTATAACTTATGAAAATTAAACCTGGCCATGGTCTACTATGTTATACAAAGACAGATTAACAAGGTAAAAAATAAAAGAAAAGAAAAAGGATTCCACAAAAAAAATTTTTCAGATTTGTGAAAGATGGTAATGTTTGAAGAATTTGAACAAATTTAGAAATAGAGTGGCTGTATAAAGATATTATAAATATCATTAAGGCTAAAAGTCTATGTGGTTGGGTCATTTGACATGTCTAGACAGAAGTAAGTAAGTTATTTGATGTTTAAGCAAACAAATTTCATGGCAATAATATAAGTTTCTTAAATTTTAAAACAGAGGTTTATTAGAACAATATTATAAATATTGAAGGTAAGAAGCATTTATGAAAATAATTAATTAAAATATTAATTAAGTTTTACAACTATATTTTTATTTTGTTCTTTGCTTCAAAATTCTTTTTACAAAATTATTAAGACAAATTGACAATTTTACAGTTTTTTGTTGATTTCGTCTTGTAACTTTAAAAAAGTTAATAAAGGTTTTAAAAATTCGTATGAAAAAAGTGAGAGTTGTACAATCTTTGTCCAAATTAGAAACAGCTCAAATATACTTACAGCTCTTAAGTCAGTGACATTCGTTGATTTTTCACTGATATGTTTTGTTCGTAACAAACTATTTGTTCTTCTATGTTTTTGAAGTTCTTGCAACCAGTAAAGAGCTACTTGCCGATTGCTAGCTTCCAAGAAATAATTTCTTCCAGGCACACTAAAATATAAATTAAATAATGACTTTTTTTAAAACAAATCATACAGGAAGGATTATAATATGATACGCTGACACAGATAAATTACTTCCTTGGCAATGTTACACACAACACAATCGAGAACACGTAAATTCTCTTTGAATATTTGTTCTTTTTGTTTTTAAATGAGCCTTTAAACCTAGATAACAAACACTTCGTGAAATTTATTCTATAGTTTTGCTAGTTTTTTTATCCTACAATTTTGCTAGTTTTTTTATCCTACAGTTTTGCTAGTTTTTTTATCCTACAGTTTTGCTAGCAAAGCTGCCAACATGGATAGGAAAAAATCTACTAGAGTGGATTCTACGAAATAGTATAAATTTCATGATAATTGTTGCAGAATGTACTAAATATTTAACACAAAGAGAATTTTAGAGATTTTTTTAGTCATCAAAATAGAAAAACTGCAATTTTTTCCAAGTAAGAATGTTATGATGTACTACTTGATGTCATACTTGAAATGTTATGCATTATGTTTACTCATAATTTTGAATATTAATAGCCATTTAATTCATCAAAGATAGTTAAAATACTTCTTAAAATTATTTATAAAGAGCGTTCTGAACATTTCAGACCAAAAAAAGTTTTGACCTGATTTCTATAAACGAGGTTCGCTTCATTATATATTAGTAATACTTAGATAAATATTCAAGCAAGCAATTATCTGCACAAAAATTCTACAATAAGAATAGGGATTTTTTCAATTTTAGAGAAGTTTCTAAAATGTACAAAAATTAAGAGAATTTTAATTTAACCAGTAGATCAGGAGAAACTGGCAAAATCCAGTAGAGTTGGTAGCTATGTTTAAGGAACAATTTCACCCTGACATTTAACGTTACCTAGTGGGCACCTGTGTACTTAGGTGGGTAACAATACCCACATCACATTGCCATAGAGACTCAAAGGTTGGTTTGGTCACATTCAGACATCAGAGAACAACACATAGCGAGAAATATTCATGCCTTGAACGAGATTTGAACATGCAACCATTCGCTTTGCAGTCAGGCACGCTGACCGCTACGCCACCTGGTAGGCAAACTCCATTTATAGATTCCCTGTATTTCATATCTTTTATTAAAAATAATTTTGTTCTTATATTCCAGTTATCACACAGTAATCAGATTCAGAATGTGTAATAATTGCGGCCAATTGGAAAGTAGTACTACTAACAGATACATCATGAAAAAGCCAGGCAAAATCGTTCTGTTTTGCTCTTTATTCAGACATTCTGAAGAGGAATTGATAGCAGGAAAATCTTTTATGTAAATGAATGTCATCCAAAAAGGAAAATGTAGCATCTGGATACTTTCAACCTACGACAATATACAGACTGCAGGGAAATTCGTGGATTTCCATAAGGAGTATATATCCATTAACTTTAGAAAAACAATCTTTCAATAAGAATATTGGCTTCTCATGGCTCTTTGTGAAGGAACGATTTCTAAGCCTTAAAATTGATAAAAGCTATGAAATAATGTAGGAAGAATTGTGAGACCATCTATATTACATCCCTTTCACCAAAAAAAAAAAAAAAATTTTTTTAACCTATTTGAGAAAATTTTAAAATTAAATTTAGAGCATAAGAAAAAAAAATTATGATCTATTTAACCAAATTGATTTTAAAAAATAAATGCAAAGAAATATGTTAGTATAAATAAACAATATATATGTGTGAAAAAAAAATATGGTCTGATTTATAAAACTAAAAAATTTCTCTTAGAAAAACAGAATAATTTTTTGAAAAATAACTTACCACTTACAGCAATAACTTTTATATCCTCATTTGCAATACGAATGAAAAAAAAAAGAGGTTACAGTTTACAAGAAACAATATTCTTTTCTTTTTGGTTTTCAGGGATTAAAAAATTGGCAACCTAGAAATGCTTTTTACTTATATCTTGCTTTAATAACAGGTAGTTTTAATATTTTTTATTAGCACATAAACCATTTAATAACATAGACTTAATATAACTTTTAGTTTTTACTTAAAAATTACTTTTATAAATAGATTCACATTCAAATCTCACTTTTTGATATGCATCTAAAGTACTATAAATGAAAATTTAAAATTCACAATAACATGTTTAGTTCGTCAAGGAAATCTATTTGTTAAGAATAAGTACCATAGGTTAAAATTTGAATCGGAATAAAACATAATAAACATAACATAATTGGTAACATGACATGACATACCTTATTGTAAAATGACCAGTTCTTTCTTTATTGTTGATGTTAATGGTAAAGGTGGCTTGCGAAATATCAATTTCCCCAAGAGGTACGGATTCTTGCGGCGATCGGTAATAATAAAGTTTGCAGTTATCTTCGTTAAAAACGAACCAACGTTTTTTAAAAGTGTTTAATATCGCCCGATTTCCCAGTTTATTTAAATAACCACAGAGTCTTGCGTACTGTTTTGAATCAGTTAGCTCTTCAGATGCGCTTGAAGTTTTTTCTTCAAATTTCACTAAAGTCTTGGACTTCCGCCGATCAACATCAGGAGGAAATTCGGGTTCAAGTTCATCATCAGGTAATTTAGACACACGACGTTCAACATCAGGTGGGAAAAATTCAGATTTACGTTCATCAACAGGTGACAAATCAATCAAATTGCCGACCAGCTGTTCGTCAGTCGCAGACATCTTCTACGTTCAGTTTCGTTATTTATACGTCATTACGTACCCGCATAAAGTCCACCAAATTCATAAACAACACTGTAAAAAGGGATTTGATCATTAACAACAAGGAAATATGTTAAAATTTAATGAATATGTGAAATCAAGTGTGGTTTTTCGAGCACAATGAGTCTACCTATTCAATTTGTTTACATCTTTTAAAATACACGCGATTTTAAACAACACCCTTTTTTTTTCTTTTCACGGTTTACAGTGAAACATCAGCTGATAAATGTAAACAAAGGCAGAAAAAGAAAAGGGTCCTCCCTAGCCGAGTGGTTTCACCCGCTATATGCTTTGTAGCTTGAAGGTAGAAGATTCAAATCTCAACGTTACTCTGGATTCATCTTCGTGCTGCCCTGCTCTGAATTGTACTATCTGTCTTTGTACTAGACAAAGGCTTCTTACTTGTAATTGAACAAGCAGTTGTAGTTGCAATTTTATTTACGTCGCACTAAAGCTGCACAATGGGCTATTAGATACGGTCTGGGAAACGTCCCTGAGGATGATACGAAGACATGCCATCACAATTTTGATCCTCTGTGGAGGGGATGGCACTCTCGTTTCGGTAGCCCGACGACCTGCGCTCGAAGTCGAGCACTTTACGGTAGAACAGTTTAACGAGTACCAATACCACACAGCCTCGATACCTTCGTTGACTGATCCAAGTGGCCACCCACCCGCACACTGACAGCAGCAAGTGATGATTGACTTCGGTGTTCTACTGGGAACAGTGTCTTAACGATCAGTCCACTGCGGGACAATTGAACAAGCAACTGGCAATGTTCAGGGAAGCATCTCTGAGGATTATCCGAAGACACGCCGTTACATTTTTGATCCTCTGCGGAGAGGATAGCTTTCACGCTTTAGTAACCCAATTACCTGAATGGAAGTCAAATGCTTTATGGTAGAACAGTTTAATGATTCGCCCGGGATAGCCTGGTTAGTAGGGGTTTATGCCCATGTCCAAGATGTCGTGAGTTTGATCCCTGTCACTTGAAGACTCCCCGTGTAGTAAATGGTAACTGGTGCTCGTTCAGTCTTTTGGGTCACAAAATTCTCCATTTTCCCACAATAAATCAATACCTCTGGGAAAACTGAATAGATTGATCAATATGAATCTATTCTGTGATGAACAAGAGATATCGTTCTCTAGTTCAGGTCAAAATTACAATCTGTGGATGAATAAATGGATGTAGGAATTGGTTCAACCTATAAATGGGCTGTGACGTGTGTGCAGCTAAAGTCGTATTCTGGTCATAGATGTAGCTGCTTAAAAACAAGAAGATCACCCTCTGCTTTAAATTTGCTTGGTTTCACCAAGCAAACTTGCTGATTGGCAAGTAGCATTAGAAACAACACGAAGGGGATTTTATTATCGACTATGTCAACCTTCATCTATCAAAAGGTACCTCTAGATAGAACCAAGTTAACATGTCTTATATACTAGTGAATTGATATTTAATATTTATAGTGGTAGTTACTCCACAAACACAGTTCAGCTAGGATCGATACCACGCCCTCTCGATCCCTAAGTAAAATGCTCAAATTGGCAAATAAAGCCAAAAGCAAAGAATTCAATTGAATGTAGGATTTAATGTCACAAGGTCCAGAGTGGCCAAAGGCAAAGTGGTGAGTTGATCAACCATCGCTTACTGGTAGCCAGTGATGCTTGACTTCGGTGTCCTACTGGAAACCATGTAGTTAATCAGTCCACAGCGGGATAAAAATAAATAAATAAATAATACAATAAAAATAAAGTAATGTTTGGGTTTGAACGTCTTCAGGAGCATTCACAACGAATGTGGCTGTCGCATCTCCAAATGTCGTCGAGAGAAAAAGGGAAACTGTTTAGCGAGTTTTTTACTGGTAAATAATTTCCTCCAGAAATAATGAAACACCTAACATGAAGGTTCGAAACCTGTGTTCAACAATATGACATTTTGTCCCGAAAAAGCTCACCGTTAAAAACCTCTTAACAACACAGAGAGATCAGTGTTGACCTGCTATGGTTATAGTAGACCAGAATATTTATTAGTCCAAAGTTTGCAACTTGCAAACTTTCAGCTAATTTGGCCTACCCTTTTTGAAAAAGTCAAAATTCAATCTTTGTCAAATCCTATTCATAGTTTTATTATTAATTTAACAATAAATGGTGCGTCAGGAATAGCAAGCTCTGATAGTGGTGCAACATTTTCACTACAGGGTAAAAATTACGTTGACTGAAGAAGGAGGTAAATTTGTGTCGTTTCTCACCATGACGCTCGCTGATGGCGGGCAAAAAGTGAGAAAAGTTCACTCCAATTCGTGTAACTGTTGTACTTGAAGGTCAAAATTTCCCATTGACCTTGTTGGCTCTTCCAGTTACTAAATGAAATCGTAAACGGATCAATACGGATTTTTTTTAAAACTTTTTTGTTGTTGAGAAAACTGGTGTGTTGTACTGAATCTTCGAGATAGAACCTGGCATTTTGGTGATAACCCAAACTAACAATTGTGCTGAAAATCCAGCTGTCCAATTCTGTGACTTAACGGATAATGCTACCAAGCAAACCTTCACCTGCTACGACCAGACGATGGAGAAAAGCAAACTAAAGGCCAGTTCAAGCAAAATAAATTGTCTCATTTTATCATATGAAACTTGCTTTAGTCTAGGAGGAGAAGCCAACCCATTCATTGAACATACAGGAACCAGTACTCCTGTTTCTACCACATTGGATGGGCCCTACTAAAAGAGAATTCTTGAAAAAGGAATTTGATTCTGGCCTGGACCCAGAGTATCAAAAAAAAAATGCGTAAATCTGTATGCTTCACTTGTTGTTTTGATTCCTAAACCGGATGGGAAAATGAGGTTATGCATTGACTACTGAAAGCTGAATGCTCAGACTGTTTCAGACACATATGATTTGCCACGCATAGACGATTTATTGAATGGAGCAAAACCAACTCCTTAGATGTTAACACCATTGACTTAAGATCTAATTACCACCAGGAGAGAGTTACTAAGAAAGTTTTGAAAATGTGTGTGTTTTTTTCCCCTATACTATTGGATTGAGAAATTTTCCTGTCACCTTTTCTAGACTGATTAACAAATTTCGTTTCGGATTGAATAATGTGCTTGCTTTGACATATTTGGATGATGCTGTATTCTCCCTTCCAGAAACATCTTTCTGACATGGGACAAGTTTTCAAGCTGATTATTAACCTAGGAAAGCGCCATTTCGGTCGTAAAAAGTAAATTACTTTGGCTATTATATCACCAAGGATGGTATATCAGTTGATCCACAGAAGACTGCTGCCATTGCAGACAAGTCTGCTTCCGGTATTGTCGAAATATTCAAAATTTTTCTCAATTAACCTATTCCCTGACGAATTTGACAACGAAGAAAGCATGGAGAAAAGAACAAGAAAATGCTTTCCAGAACTTCAAATCAAAATAAATTAGCCCACTTATTCTTAAGCAAGCAGATGGAACAAAGCTTTTTGTTATGCGATCAGATGCTATCAAAGTAGCCATAGGAGCAGTGTTGCTCCACTGTGAAAAAGTTGAAGAACCTGCTATAAAATGTGCCAATCGCTTGCAGTCCTCTTCAGAACAAGACAACTCAACTATAGAAAAAAAAAGGCTTAGCTGTGGTATAGGTTCTCAATAAATTCAGAAGTCACGTCGTTGTTTCGGCCTTCATGGAAGACTTTTTGATGTAACTAACTCGCATTTGCTTTACATGAAGAGGAAGACCACGAGAACCTCCCACGGTTAGCCTGACGGCAAAGGGACTCTACCCCATGATCCGTATACCACTGAGGATATTTCACGGCAGCACTGTGGTCGGTGCAAGCCGGATGCGGAATTCGTATCGACCCGGGATTCGAACCCGGTTCACCTCATTGGAAGGCCGGCTCAGACCTCATGGCTCTATTCCCTGAGCCATGGCGGCTCAGACCTAGTTAAGGTTCAGATTGACAAGGCTTTCTTTGTGAACAAAATAATTTGTTAAGGGCCATCTAGCGACAATTTAGTTAGTCCCTCTCCCAGCCGCTGAACTCTTAAATCGTGAACTTTGATATCAATGCTTAAGTCCCTTTTTTGTACTCTACATCCATGCCCTCTAGTAATAAGTTTGTCTACACAATACTTCATTGAAGATTATTGTTTCTTTATAGCAGATATATTTAATTTTTTTTTATATTTGATTTTTATAAATTCAAATGATTAATAGTAATCAATAACACTCTACCCTCTTCTCTATGCCAGAAAAATCTAAAATTTGCAAATTTTACAGATGTTAAACACATTTTTTCCCCAAATTTATTAAGATTCTTAATTTGTAAATTTGAAATTTTTTTAAAAAACAGTTTAAATTTTTGTGATTTTCCTCAGCATGCAACGCAAATCCGGATTAGTTTCATCAAGAAGTCCTCCATGGAGGCAAATTTCTCCTAGTACTTGATCGAGGATATCCGTTTTCTTCTGGATTGTTCAACTACGGTTATATATAATTATTAGTCCCTGCGTAGAACCAGTAAATGTTTCATTTCATTTTAATTATTATTATTTGTATTTTCTTGTAACTGTCATATGTGTTCTATTTTATGTATTTCAATAAATTAAAAAGAGTTAGTCGAAATCTTTATCTATAACACGAATAGTTACAAAAGTAACTTTTAAACTTAATATTTGAAAGTTTTCAGACATGTTAACGTTCGTATATATGTCACCTATGTAAATAGCCTGAAATTAGCATGGCGCAATATAAAGGCAATAACTTATGAAATATTAATAATTTTTATTGTAGAAATTTTTTAATTTACGTATGGAGAAGAGAACGGTAAAGATAATAGAGAAAATAAATTCAATGGCTATTTGGAGCGGTAGCCTTGCAATTTTGAACCCAACCCAAAAGACAAAGGAACTTCTGAATCAATTGTTGGGAGAATTTGCCTTTGTGGAGGACTATTAGATGAAACTAACCAGCATTTGCGTTACATGGCGAGGAAAACCACGAAGACCTCCCATCGTTAGCCTGAAAGGCAAGGGGACTCTAACCCATGATTCGTCTACTACTGAGGATATTTTACTTTAGCACTGTGGTGAGTGCGACCCGGGGGAGGAATTCGTTTCGACCAGCCGTCGCTGGGATTAGAACTCGGTTCACCTTAGTGGAAGGCGAGCGCTCTATCCCCTGAGCCACCACGCCTCGGAGAGCAATATTGATGAATTTTTCTGCGTTCCGTCGAATATGTAAACATTAACTGTGAAAAAAAAAATGAGATGAGTTCCATGCAAATTAACCAGACTAAGATCTTATTTTAGTATATGTATAGATAATTCAAAATATGAATCGATTCATATGCGTCCCTTCAGTGCAAGGTTAAAAGTTTCATTTTATTGCTTATTTTTTTATCCAAGCACAACATTGATAAACAATGGTAGTACTGATTTATTCTAGAAAATGTTGATTTTAATCTAACTAATATCTATAAAAATACGTCACAATAGATAAAAAGAAATTAGTAAAACAATTGACTGTGATAATAGAAACAAACTAAAATATCACACTTTATTTTTGAATCGAGAGTGACGCCTAAGCTAACGGGAATCGTAAATTTATTTATATTTCTGTAAATTCAAAATAAGAGAAATGGCGTCATTTTGTAAGAAAATGCTGGAAATTGGAATATTTTTAATTTTATTTTCATCTTTAAATGCTAAAGGTAAGAAGTTATTACCTATTTTCCATTAACTAACAATATGCTATAGTTAGAAAACTATCAACAAAATTTTGCGATAAACCTAGTTACTGTCATGGAGTTCCGGATCTGTATATGCTGACCAATTTCTTATTTTTTTTTTTTTTTTGTTATTCTGTTCGGCTGGCAAATTTTGTCCAATTAGTTCTTCAGAGTTATCCTGCTTTGCCGGCAAATCTTTTCTTCCAAGTCACCTTTTCGGTAAAAAAAAAAAAAAAAAAAAAAAAAAGTTTTTCCAAGTCATCCTGTTTTGCTTCATTTTGTCCAAGTAGCTCTTCCAAGTCATTTTTTCCGTAAAAAAAACTTATGCTTAATTTTTGGCCAAGCAGTTCTTTCAAGTAATTTGGCTTTTCGATGAAAATCCAAAACTGTTAATCATCATTATCCTCTATCAAATTATGCTCTATATGATTTATAGCATAGTCTTTCATAAATATAAATATTGTGTATTAGTTATAGATGAAACAAAACAACTATTTTAAAATTTTAAAAAATACAATAACAAATTCAATTTACATTAAAATATTGACATCTTTTGTAATAACTTGATAAAAAAAAGTTTGTATGCACTAGACGAACGTAAAAAAAAAAAAAATTTATGTTAAGCATTAAAAAGAAGAAAAATCTAAATACGAAATTTATCAAAACATAACAGAAAAAAGCATTGTCACTCTGAGTTTTGTTCTTCCATGATTTAAGTCATTGCAATATGCAATAAAATGAAATTAAGATTTAAAAAACGTTTTTTTTTATGCGGATTTTAAAAAAAAAATTATTAGTTCAATAATGCATTCGTCTTATCTTTGAAAGTTGTGGGGATAAGTTTTGGTCTGTACGCGACGAATTGTGCGCAATGGATCGACATACAATCAAATAAGTAAAACATTTTGAAACTCACAAGGGGGGACTAAATAAAATTCGCAGTGTTCTCAACCTGAACCAAATCAAAAATACTACCACAAATAAAATAAATTGGTAGTTCAAACGATTTTTTGAAAACTAGAACAGAGCATAGGTTGGAAAAATAAAACAAAGAGGTTAGCAAGGCTAATGCCACCGTTTTGTAGCTGCTACTGGGCACTTGACTGAGTTTCACAATCGAATTTTAAAATTATCTGTCGTTAAATCTTGTTTTTTTTTTAATTGAACTTCTTGTTAAAACCGACTTTTTTTTATTATTTAGAAATAAATCTAGTAAACAGTACACTCGCTTGCGGACCTGATCGCCCGTTACTTGTGACGGAAAAACTTGGTTATCTGACATCGCCTGGCTTTGATAATTTCCACTACTATCCAGCCAACAAAAACTGTTCATGGACTTTAAAGGCGCCAGAAGGAAAGGTGAGACATTTTATTACCCTTTTTTACATTATTAACTGTACTTTATAATCAGAAAATAACACTAAATAACAATAAATAACGGGGATCGAAAGTACGACCTCTTGGACATGTGCCCAATGCCCCTCAAACCAGGCTACAATAGCCTTGTAAGCTATATTAAACATTGTAATACGTACATCTAAGAGGAGGTTTTATAGACGCATTCGCCCTATATTGATGCACACTCTTTATTAAAGTTTCTTTCTTTTCTTGTGTTTTATAACACAGTTCAATGCTCTTTTCAGGTTATTGTATTAAAAAAACTGTATTTTGCTTTGAATATGGATTGTGGTACAGATGCCCTCTTGCTATCTGACGGTGAAGCTCCCAACCGTAAACTGGTGGGGAAATATTGTGGTTACTGGATGCCAGGCAGCCACAAATCCAAGACCAATGTTCTGCATTTGAATTTTGTGAGTGGTCGAACGCCTCGTGATGTTGGTTTCCATTTTTATTTTGAGCAAGCATTGCCTACAGGTGAGACTTATCCAACACTATTCAACATTTATGTTCATTGTAATTCTAAGCAATACTCGTTTTTGTGGTTTTCGTCGTCAGCCAGTAAAGCAGAAAGGGTGCGATCGTTCTTGCTTTCCTGTGGCGCCATCTATGGTCAATAATACAACGTCTGTCACTCCCATGCGTCTCACCCGTTAATAGAGCAGACCCATTCGTACATCCACTGATTGTAATTCTGACCTGAATCGCAGAACGATCAATCTTCAATTTAGTACCTCCAGAGGTATATATTGCTATGAAAACATGGGGGACTTTGTGATCCAACAGATATAACATGCACTAGTCACCATTTACTACACGGGGATTCTTCAGCCGGCTGGGTTCGAACCCCCTTTCTCACAAACGGAAGACAAGCGCCCTGCCAAGCGGGCTATCCCGGTTTAGCAATACTCCTCAATTAGTAATTTAGGAATTTAGAGAAGAAATTAGCTTATTTAGAAAAAAAAGTTATTGCTTTTTTTTTTTTAAATTCTATTATAACGTTGAAACAAACTAACATTCACTTTTGAATACATGGAATGCAAAAATGTAAGCAGTTTACTTTATAACCATTTAAGATGTAACTTTAATACTAATTTAAACTAGAAAAATTATTGCGTTATGTAAATTATGGATTGTTCAAATACTACTTAAGAGAATGCCATACCTCAGGAGAAATTTATGATCTTATATAAACTCACTTTTACCACCATTTCTAATTTAAAACTTAAAAGAAAGAAAAAGGGTGATCAGGCAAACCTAGAGTAAGCCAGGATGTTTTAGTTACTGAAAAGAACTTTTTTGAAAATATAAAAATGTAAACAAATTATTAAAAGAGAATTTCTCCATTACGTAATCTTAAGTTTTCTCATAAATTACTTTCCGTTTGATATTTAAATTTTTTTTCAATACTTGATACTTCATGGATTACTCTATGTTTGTCTGAATTCGATTTTCTATACTTTAAATTTTAAATTAGTTAAAACGGAGGTGAGTTAGGAGAATTTGCTACAAAAAAATTTTCGCGTGGTATGGCGTCTTGTGACCTGCTTACTTTTGAAGACAAGGGAGAGGTGGGGTATAACCAATGCTTACGTAAGACATTAAAATGCATTTAGTTTAAAAAATTTCTTAAAAAGAAAAGAAATGTTACAAAGAAATTATATTTGAAAAAAATTCAAATTTGAATTAAAAGTTGAACTGGGGGTGGGGAAAAAATATGAAAGAAACTTTTTTTGCAAAGTTTCAGAAGTCAATACAGAAAAAAAAAAACGTAAACGATTCTGAAAGAATATTTTGCAAAATTAAAATTTTATGAATTGAATTAAAACGTAAATATCGTTTTATGCAAAGTTATAACTTTTATTTGAGTTTAATCCCAATACTAGATGCCAAAATTAAAGCTTAAAAAAGGGAGGGTGCTGCGACTTTTTTACGTAAGCATGGGAGAGGGTTTGTGATTGACTTATTTTTGCTCACAAGGAGGAGTAGTAGTGAAAAATATGCTTACGTAATATTCATTACAAGAAGAAGAAAAAATAAAGGTGAATTTTTTATAACACCGCATGTATCGAATTCTCCTGTCAGATGCTTCACTAATTAATTCCCCTCTACTTTTAAAAAGGTAAAAAATAAAGAATACTGAAGAGTTGATTCTTTAAAAGGTTGTTTTTCGAAGGCAACGTCGTCATATGAATTGATTTTTTGGGCATAATATGCTGTTTTCATAATTGCTGTGAGTTCGCAATTATGATATGAGTTACAGTTGGACAACTATAGATATAATCCGTTTATAAGTAGGACTCGCAATGAAAACAGCATTCATAACTCTTTCGATTTAATATTAAATAATCATTTCTAACCCAGTTATTAAAGCGAAAAAAAAATTTTTTTTAAAAAGAAGAAGAAAAAAACTCTATAAAAACTGTCATGATTTGAACACCATGATCTTCGAATGATTTTAAAATCTTCGTTTAATTTTCTCCTTTGTATTAAAAAACTTTCGTTCTCTTTTAACTCGTTTTATAAAGGAGTTCATTTACTTACATAATTTATGTTTAACAATTCATTGTCAAAATATCGGATTTCCTATCGTCAACTTGTAAATTATTCTATCTCTTTGATTTGATTTTGAAATACATTTCGCTCTTTGTTAGCTGTACTAAAAAACATACCTGATTACATTCATACATAATTGATTTCGTAATATTTTCTTAATAATAAATAAGAAAAACTATCTTTAGGAGATAGTTTAAATTTATTTTTATACGAATACTAAAAATGTTTCCTATGAGTAATTTTCATCAAAATTAGTTTTCAAAAACGTTTCAAAACAAATACATTAGACATATTTTCAGTTAATTTATAGCATGATCATAGATGTATATCATAACAAAGATATTAAAGACTTAATAGGATAAAAAGAAACTTTATTAATTATTTATAATCATTATTTCGTTAATTATTTTCTTTTTTTTAATTGGGCGCTCCTATTTATTTTCAGTTGGAAAGAGGGCTCAGTAATTTAAAAAAAAAAGCTTCGGAGCCTATGGGTCAAGGGATAGAGTTTTCGCCTTCCAATGAGGTGAACCGAGTTCGAATCCCTGCGATGACTGGTTGCTATGAATCCGCATCCAGCTGGCACTGACCACAGTGATGACGTGAAATAACCTCAGTGGTAGACGGAGCGTAAGTTAGAGTCCCTTGTCGTCAGGCTAACCGTGGGAGGTTCCTGTGATCTTCCTCTTTATGTAACGCAAATGCGGGTTAGTTCCATCAAAAAATTCCTCCACGAAGGCAAAATTTCTCTCAATACTTGATTGAGGAGTTCCATTGTCTTCTGGTTTGGGTTCAAAATTACAAGGCTACAGAGTTGAACATTAGTAGTCGTAAACCCGAAAATTGGGTCGGCTGTTCAACGACGGTTATAAAATAAAATGTATCAGTCACCTTCAGCGATCAGCTGGTCCACTTTTCAAAACATAGCTTCTCATTAATTCTAACTGTTAGCATCACACCTCTGAAATGAGAAAGCACTATACGCTGTTTCGGGGAAATTGTTTTGCTGAAACCATCAAAATTGAGAAAGGTAAAGTGTAGAGAGTGGGAAAATCACGAAGCTTTCAGATGATTATTATATTCACAAAGAGTATAATGAGGAAATCGATAACATTTCCACAGAATAATGGATTATTTAAAAAAAAATTCCCTTAAACACCAGTAAAGTGTTAAAATGAACATTTGAGAGATGTTAGTATTTTTTCTTTTTACATTCAATAGTGGTGTGCAGTGATGACGAAGTAACGTGTCGACATCGCACTAAATGTGTTCAGACCTCAAAAAAGTGCGACGGAGTAGACGACTGTGATGATGGCACAGATGAAGAGAACTGTGGTAAGTGGTTTTTCATAAAGCGTTATTTCTGTTTTCGTATTTAAAGTTCAAATAAAAATAGATACATAATTGTGTTTTTATTCAAATTCAGAACTAATACTTGCGTTACAAGAAAAAAGTAGACGCTCAGAGCGCGAAATATAAAAGACACAATCAACTTTTATTCACATGATCGGACATACAAGAATAAATGCAATATATGCCATTGCCATCCAAATATGCTAATTAGTGATAAAGTTTAAATAAGCTACAGAATCTGACATGCTTCTGTTTAAAACATGCTCTGGATTGGATTTTAATCTATAAAAATATGACTGGTAGACAAAAAATGGAAAATATGGTCTTAATCGGTGGTCGAAAGTAGCGCGCTACGAGTAGCGATACTACTATAGTCGCTACTTTTTTTTCGTAGTTTGTAGTGTAGTGCGCCAATTCTTAAAAAAAGTAGTGTAGTGATAAATAATTGATTCAAATTAATTTTTTCTTGGAATTATCTTTAGATAAACAAATTTTATAGTTGCATGCAAAAACTTTTCGATTCGCTTAAAAAGTTCTTGAAATATGGTGAAATATTTAAAGAATTATGGAAGTTAATATCAAACTTCCGACGCTTTCCTGGTTCAACTATTGGAACTAAATTTTCAATGTTGCTGTCATCCCCATATTTTGATATTTAAAAATCCAAATCGACCCATATTTCCCACATCCGTCCAATTCTTTTCTTTAGATTAACAAATTTTATAATTGTGTGCAAAAAAATTTCGATTCAATTAAAAAGTTTTCTAGGTATGGTGAAATATTCAAAGAATTTAATTAACATTAAGGGAATCAAACTTTTAATTATTGGGATCCTATTTTCGAGATTGTTGTTACCCTCATAATTTAATATCTGAAATTCCAAATTTCAAAAGGTATTCCAAATTCCAAAAGGTATGTTTATTCAGAGAAAGTACGTTTTCGCGTTTGTCCGCAACTGCTATTATTAGTTAGCACTAATTAAGCAGCATAATTGAGATTAACCCTTTGAACCATCGGCTCTTAGTTCGTGAAAAATATAATCATTGGAACAAATGTTACTTAGGATTACATCATTTAATTTTTATTTTGTGTATTGTCCATGCGATAAAAAGAATACAAATATAGCTATTAAAAAAACTTTTCAAATTTTGGTCAAAAACCTAAAAATCGTTGTTGTGATGATTCCATTGAAATTTCTTTCTATACATAATGGTGTCGCAGTTTTCCATTGCAGTTTGTGTAATTTTATTGGCCGGAAAATCACGTGGTAAGATCCAGTTTCTCCTCTTTCATTTCCATATTGTTTTAGTTATCATTAGCATAAAATTAATAAAAGTCATAAAGGTACTATTTTTTCTATAAATATTTTTGTATCCGTAATTTATCCCTCATTTTAATTTCATCCCTACTTATTTTTCATGTATCTGTACTGCTATTACTACGCTTTAAATTCAAGAGCTTAACTAAGAGTTTAAAACAGAGAGAATTGTTATTTTTTTATTATTATTATAAAGTAATTCTGTGATACATTTTAAGATGAAGTTATTTAGATAGGTGGTATAATTTTTATTAACAGTTTCACAATTATTATTTTTGAGCAAATAATATTAATATACTGCTATGAATTACAGTTAATGAGATTTGTTAAATGATTTGAAACTTAACGATTAGCTTCATGCCCTATCAGATGTAAGCAAAAACGGTATTTAATATATCCCCTCGTTTGGTAAGCGAAAATATTAAATTACGGTTGCGAATTTAAATTTGTTTAAATAATATAATGCTATAACAATACAAACTAAAAAATGTTTGTTTAGAAAAATTACTTCTGACCACCAATAGATCTAAATATTTATAGTTCTAATAGATAATAATATTTGAACGTGGGAAGTGGAGGCGTAAGCAGGTAGACAAGCGTAAGCAAATAGACTCATTTTTAGTACATATTATGCTAAGTGAAGAATTTTAGCTTAAATAGAAAAATTGTTTTCTGACAAGAAACAACAATTATTGCGAAACTATCATCGAGGTTGGTGAGCGAGAGCGAACAGGGGGCTTAGTCCCCTAGTAATCCCATACAAGAGAAGAGCAAATGAAACGAGAACATATTTAAAAGAGAACACAAATAAAACATGGCTAATAGGATAGAGCTTACTTGTGAAAAGCAGCGTTTCCCAACTTGGAATTTTTTTTTGTATTGAAAAACTAGTTTTCTAGAAGCTAGTTTTCTTTTGTATTGAAAAACATCACTCATTAATATTTCATTTAGTGTCTTTTTAGAGTCATTTATAAATTCATTTATTATTCGATGAAAACTTTTTAATAAAATTTTCTATTGCATTTTTTGTACCATGTTGCCAAATAATAAGCATACATACATATATTTGTTTGTTTGTTAAATCTAAGATAAGGCCTCAAACAAGACGAGTGAAGAATGTGGTGTGCCGAAAATCACACCAGTGTCCTCCAGTACTCCAAATCCAGTGCAAGCACCGGCAATCGGTATTATTCAGTACATTGTGGGAGGTGAAGCTGCAGTTCCAGGTAGCTGGCCGTGGCAGGTGTCCCTAAGAATTACCGGAAACGAACCTCTAAGTCACTGGTGCGGAGGAGTACTCATCAGCAGTCAGTGGCTCTTGACGGCTGCCCATTGCTTTAAAAGGTAACCATACATCCCCATAGTATCTTTAGCTATACCCTGCTTAAAATAATCTGAATCTACATTAGAGGATTCAGATAGGATGATCTCATAGTAATTGTGTTATTTGGCTAAATTTCGGTCGCTGCTCCTAAATTATTTGGCAAATTTTTTGGTTGTTAGGGAAAACTTATTTTCGGCTGGAGTCGGAGTTTAAAAATTAGTTGGAGGTGTTGGTTGAAACAGTAGCGCAAATTGCCCCCAAACTGCTCCAAAGTGAAATTTCTGCTCCAAGCTGCTGCTTTTTCCCAAAATTGCGCCAAGCTTTTTCAAAACTCCAATAATAATTCTTGAGCAAAAAACGCTATTTTATATCAATTAGGCGTAGAATTTTAGCTCAAATGTTAATTTTATTGCTCCCAAACAGCAAGCTTTTCCGAGGTATGCAGAGGTCAAAGTTTGCAAAAATTCAGTTTTTGGCGCTTCTTCTTTGCAGAAAATTTGGGTTAACCAACATCACCCCAACAATGTTTTACAGATACTTCACTATTAAGACCCAACACTTTTCTGGGCTTCTTAGAAGATATAGTCATTCAAACTTAAGTAGAGGGAAAAATCTGCTTTAGCTAATCTCAAAACTGCATCGTTTCTCTCTCTAAAAAAAACTTATTGTACCACATTGCAGGTAAATGTATCAACCAAGACGTGGAAAAGAAAAATCAATTGAATATCGTCCCATTCCCATTAAAAAGGTTTACTAAGTTGCATATAAATGTCATGCCACAAAACAAGCACCAACCCTTTTTTTTAAGACAGCAATGATGTGTCTTCCACTTCAAAATAAGCTAAAATAAAAATATTTTCTAAAATGTCTATTTGCAGTTAAAATATGTAATGATTAAATCTGCGTATGCTGTTCCCCCTGTAAGCTTTTTTTCTAGTACAGCATACCGAATCGAGTAGTTCTCCGCGTTAATTGCGCATTCCAAGAGCTGGATTTCCTGTACTTTCTATATTCTTTGGTCAAGCTATCGTGCTGTAACGTGGCGAAAAGCGTTCGAAATGTTTCAGTTGAATCAGGAAATGGACTTTTTTTCAAAAAAAAAGTTCCTAGTTAGTTCGAATTTTGTTTCAGTCACATAAGACTGTAAATTATTATTATTATTATTTATTACTTATTTATTTATTTTGTTTTTGCAGTGGTAGACTGGATGTCCGTTACTGGAATGTGATGATGGGGAAACATTTCAAACTAGTTCCGGACGAGACAGAACAAATCAGATACATGAAATCCATTCACGTCCATCCCTTATACAGAGGCTTCAATGAAACTAAAGTGAGTCCTTCACAACACTCAGTTTCATGGCTACAGTTCACAATCTTTATAGCTCGCGTGTCTTTATTAGCAAACATTCATATTCAATATTAAAATAGCTAAAAAATAAAATAATGGGCAACAGACATTTTACATAATTAATAACACTGAAATCGACTTTTATAGTGAACTGGAATGGACGAAAATAGGATGTAAAAGAAGTGGAACATGGAAGACTTCTAAATGAACACTTATAATGAACTAAAGTTATAAACTAATTATTTCTAAGTATTTCATATAGTTTGTCTATGGTGAGAACTCCCCCCGCCACAAATTCTGAGGCCGTCTGCTGCTATGGAAACAAGAATAGCGCATTTCAGGAAGGTAGCTTCTCTTCACTCTAGGACTAACACAATAGTCCGAAGAAAAAGATTTCCTTCCTCTCGTCTCTCCGATGTTCTACGCAATGACCCCACACCTATACTTGAAATAGTTATACCTCGTTACCAAAATCCCCACCACAAGTCCAGACGAATGGCTAGGGGGGGGGAGGGTTCTTACTTTAGATAAACTATATATGTGTAACTGTGAATGACCGAAATTGGTGGTTGTAAATGTCCGAAATATATACTAGGTCTAGTTAAGTGCCACTGCCTGGTATACATTTGCCCGGTACTCCAAACACTGACGTTTCTCCTAATCTATCCTCAGCAGATATTAAAATATCGAATGTGTATAATAATAACAATGAATAAATTAATATCAAATCTGATCTAACAAATATTTCGGACATTCACTAAAGCGACTATGTGATTGTTGACATTCACCGGTGAAAGTCGACATTCTCTTGATTTTGGTCATTCACGGTACCGTATGCATGTGCATTGTAAGTATTAGTAAGAAATATAAGCCTTAGGTTTCCATAATAGAGGAAAAAATACAAAAAATGTTTCATTTCTTAAAAACATTTTGAGTGTTAAAAACTTGCCAATTTAATCGCTTTTCTTTAGCGTAATATGTTGTTTTCAGAGGAAAAAAAATAGCCCATTTATTTAAATTTTATGTTAACAGCTGTCGATCCCTTGGCTAAGACGGAAGCAGCATGATCTTGCTCTGGTAAAGTTGAACGCTCCAGTCACTGTAACTGACTATGTGATGCCAGTCTGCTTACCTCCCGCTAATTACAGTCTCACACCCGGAACATTGTGTTACGTCACTGGATGGGGAGACACATACAGTAAGTATAGAAGGGTGTTTCTTTATTACCACCCTTAATGTTCATTTTTTTAGAAACATTGTCAATCAAGAAACTATGATTATTGTATTTAATGAATAAAAGAAATATTATTACGGTACTCTGACCGGGTTGCTTTTCGAGGAAGACATTAAATTCAACAAAAACTTAATTTATTTAAAAATTGAGACTAAATGCGTTACAGTTCTTACTGCTTAAAATAGTTAAAGATTAAGGATAATCAACTTCAATCGGCTAGCGAGACAGAAAATGTCGGATTAGGTTACCATATTAGGCTAAACTTCACTCTAAATTTGTTTTTGTTTTTTTCCACTCATGATCAAAATCATACTAATTATACCAAACTACGTTATTCTTTTTTTTACCCATTGGCAAAATGGTTGTTGTTTTGGGTTTGATGGCATGTGCACCTTATTTGGACGTCATCACGCTTTTCAACTGTGTTCAAGAGTAATAGTAAATACTGCGCATACGTCGTCATTGCCTGCGTTGCTGCGTCCGCTCCTGTTTGATAATTTTTTTAGAATTCTTTTCTTCACTTTTAATTTTGTGAAGCATTAAGTTGGTGAGTTTATTTTTGAGATATGGGACCAGAGAGATCCCATAAATACTTCTTGAGTTGTGAGTAAAAGAGAATTTCATCATCTGAACAATATTTTTGTTTTTATTGCTTTAATTAAGAATCAGAAATTCTCTAACCTACAGTTCAAACTGGATCGTTTTCAACACTAATTCATGTGAATATCACAAATAAAGAGGGTGGAAAAAAAATTAAACAACAACCTTGTTGTTAATGGGTAACCTATGATCGCCGAAAGGCGATCTCAATTTTTGTAAACCTTTTTGTGACCAAAATGCATCTCAAAACCTGCATTTTTTCTTAATTAGCCAAACGACACGCTAGTCTACAATGTTGCATAAACTGTAAACTATCTGATTCAGCGCCTTAAATATTAAAGATGACTTTATTTTGCAGTTTGTTTGTATAATGTTCTGATAGAAATGCAATCTTAATAAATAAGATACACTTTTTTTTAAAAAAAAACATTAACTGATTATTAGGTACATGATAGCTAATTAAATTGTCTAGAACATTTGGTTATTATTTAACATTATTTTTGCGTACAATAAATAGTTTGAATAGCTACTATTTCCTTTTTAAAAATAGGAAGAAACAATACATGTCCATATTTTTGAGATTTCCATCATATAAAGATGCTTTGTTAATCATTCCATGTTAAGTCATATTAATATACCATGCTCAGTTATAAGACATATAGTGTTAAGAAATAATAATTAATATTTAAATTCAATGCTTCGGAGTAATAAACTTTGAAATGTTATAAATGATTTGACTCTTTTTTTATATAATATTTAACTACAGCATTCAAATGACTGTATTATCAAATCTCCTTTCTGTAATAGATACTGGTGCTGAATTGGAATTGAAACAAGCTGTTGTACCTGTTATATCTCTTGAACAGTGTAGGAAGTGGCACAGGTTTTATGACGTTGCACCAACAATGATTTGTGCAGGACATCCAGAAGGCGGTCACGACTCGTGTCAGGTAAATTCCGTCGCAGCAAAATAGTACATTTCAACAAATATTGTTTATAAGGACCAATGAAGCCAATTAGACAATACGTAGAAACGATATCCGATTCTGTTTTGTACAGGTTACAGACAACCAATAATGCATACCCAGAATGCATGTCACCTTTAAAGGCAACCACGTGACGGAATTTTCTTTTTATTGTCACTAAAATGTTTCTACTAAAAACCTTTTTTCAAGAACGCAAAAATATTACAGTTTCAAACCTTTCATTCTGTATAAGAGGATTAAGAATTTATTTTTTAAAGCTTTTTTTAAACATTATTGTCACTTAAGGTCCACAGTGACGTTTTAGCTGACGTCACACTAGAGATAGGATCAAATTGCATTGTCCATTAAAATTTCATGACAAGGTGGATTTTGGATGAGCATACAAGACGTTGCGAAAAGAAACCTTTTAATTACCTAGAATTAATATTATTTTCACCTTAAGACTAGTTTGAGGATTTTTTCATGTTAAGACAACCTTGTTTTAAGGTTTTTATATAGAAGAATGTTTTACAAGGATTTGGATGAGGGTAATGTGAGTAGAATAGAGCAGATTGTCACAGATGTCGTTTTAAGATTAGAAGGTTTACACGTAAACTGCATAACAAACCTTTTTAGGTTTACATTAAAAGGTTTTTGCTAAGCGAAAATAAATCTTCTTTTGCTCTCTGGGATATATGATTATCAAGCAAGGTTATATTGATAATAATCAATGTAATAATAATATAGTAATTAACGATAACAATAATCATACGCTATTGAATACCATAATATCGTGATCATTATGAATAAAGTAACGTATCAAAAAAAAATAATAATAATATTGAGAACATTAGACATAACAATAATGAATACGATATTATTGTGTAAATCTAGCCTACTTGGAAAATCAAGCAAATTTCTAAGGCAGAGGGTGCGTTTCCTTCTTTTCAATGGCGACATGTATGGCCAAGAATACGCCTTCATACACACGTCACAACCTATTTTACAGAGAAGACCTAATCATACACTTTTCATTTATGCACAGATCGTAATTTTGACCTGAACCTGAGAACGATCAATCTTCAATTCAGTTCTCCCAGAGGTATTGATTTGTTATGGGAACTTGGAGGACAGATTTAACGTGCACCAATCACCATTTAAATCAGGATTTAAACTCACGCGTTCACGAACATGATCCCAGCTTCCTACCAAACAGGCAATCCCGACCTCCTCGAAAATATTAACCAATATAAAAATAATGTAAATTGAAAAAAGTATCGCGGAATATTACTGAATAGCGATAATCCTGATCATGCATCGCGGCATTAAAATTCGGTACTTGCTATCGTTTTGGCGGCAATTCGGTACTTGCTATAGCTTTGGCGGCGATTCGGAAAAACAGTTGTCAAAACACGATCCTCGTAACAGATGAGAACCCAAGCTCATCATTTCTGACTTTCTATTAATTATGTAATAAAAACAAACTTAAATCTTTACTTACGAAGAGTAATATTTGACCTTGACTTGGTTTTTTTTGTTTAGGGCGATAGTGGAGGACCCTTGGTTTATTCTGAAGATAGGAAAAAATGGCATTTGGGTGGAATTGTGTCCACAGGTGGATCCATTTGTGCAGAAAAAGAACAACCAGGAATATACACTCTTGTACCTTACTATGTTGACTGGATTCAAAAAGTCATGAAATCGAACTAAATATTATTTATTTCTGTGTTAAGAGGGTTATGCTGTTGTTTTAGAAGTCATGGATTTTTTGATCAATAAATAATTTATTATTTTTAAACAAGTGGAAAGTAATCGATCTATTTTATTTAGAAATACATTCGAAATCATTTTTCAGATACCCTGATTTAACAAGGAAATTTTGATAAGGGTAATAAATAAATTTTGATAATTCATTTAAATAGATGGTTGAATTCGTGTTAAAAAGCGTTCATAAAACCTGTTCATATGAGCAAATTTACCTAGGAATATTTCCTAATCAGAAATATATTAAAGCTAGAAATTTTCTTAATTAAAGCTGTCAGAAAAAAAAGATAGCTTTTATTTATTTGCTTTATAATTTAAGAAGACTAGATTTTAATGAGCACCATTATTTAACGAGCGAATTGTTTTTATTCTTACATTCTCGTTATAAACGAGTTTCGCAATCATTCAAGTATTAGCATATGTCGCGGTGGCTCAGGGAATAGAGTGATCGCCTCCCAATGAAGTGATACAGGTTGGAATCCCAGCGATGGCTAGTCGATTTGAATTCTGCTGCCGGCTCACACATAAAAGTGTTGACTTTAAAAGTCCTCAGTGATTACGTGGAAAGATTAAGATTCCGTGGGAGGTTATCCTCTCCATGCAACTTTAATGCGAATTTGTCGCATCAAAAAGGCTGGTTAGTCCTAATGCTTGATCTCAGAGCTCCCTTGTCTTTTGAGTTGGGTTCAAAATCACAAGGCAGCGAAGTAGAGTAATCGTAAACCCAAAATGGGCCATCTGTTTAACGCTGGTTATAAAAAAAAATGACGTAATTACATTCACTTTGTATTTTGAGCTAAAGTTGACTTAATGATATTGAAAGTATGTTAGAAATAGTACAACATAGCAAAAATTAAGTTGAATTAAAAATATAATTTGGACCTTATAATGTTAATTGTCATAAATGTTATAATGTTATTGTTATCTCTCTCATATCTTATTTGATTTACATGGTGAAATGCAAATTCAATTGAGTATAAGAAGCTACAACACAAAAGATTAAATATTTACATCCCTTACAAATAAATGGATTGTTCAACCAAAGTAATAATTTTTTATAAAAAAAGGCTCTTATTCATTTAAAATGTCTCTCAACAAATATTTCAAGCAAACATACTTTAAAACATAAATTTTTAAGAAATATGTTTGAGTATTTCATAATTAATTTTTGCTAAAAATACTTAATCAAATTTTCTGCTAAGTTTCAAATTACTTCAATCCTTATCGGGAATTTCAAGAAATATTATTCGCTTATAACGCGATTGCGATTACATGAGAAAAGTTTTTTTTACTATTTATTTATTTTATTGATTTATTTACTTTTTTGTTTATAGATTTTAACGGAAGAAGAGATTAAGGTAAAAATAAAGTGGAAAGTGGATGCCAATATGGTTTAATTGATACTTAAATACGGGTGAAGAAATCAATCAATTGGGTGTCAATATTTCAATCAAAATTGAACTGTACAAAATTTATTATATCCCTCACCCTGCACTAATATGTAACATAGTGTTAAAGGATGTTGTACATCTGTACGATTTACTCACACATTGATTTATATTTTAGATTTCAGAAAATTTACATTTCTGGTTTATCATTACCAGCAGTTTTTGCAATAAGAATAAGCATATCAGCAAATTTATCACAGAAATAAAATTAAGAGGAATAAAAAATTTATTTTTGTTTTGATTTTATTATCCTTCATAACGCAAAACACGCCTGCAGAAATTCAGTTTTATGTCTAGCAATACAAATAATAAAACAAATTCATTTTTTTTTATCATTTTATAGATAACAAAATCTGACCTAAAGAAATTTCTAACAAACAAAGAAATTTCATGACTCAAGAATTATCTCGAAATAAACAGAAATAACGCATGAGAAATGCGAACTTCTTCCACGTTCCACCTCATGTGTTCCACTTCATTTTGAAAATTCAAGATTTCGGTTCAAATTTTTCAAAATTTTGTTTTGATTTTATTACAATCATGCGTGTTTTTTTTTTATAAAAAAAAACCAAGTGAGGTTTGGAGTAGATCATCCATATTTATGGTAACAATGTCAAATGGTGCTAAAAATGTAAATCTGATGCAAGAGCTGCAGTTCTCCTTTGAAATCCGCAACTATCGATTCGGTTATTAACATTTTATTTTATTTTATAACCTACGTTTAACAGCCGAATCCTTTTTGGACATACGGTTATCTAACCTTGTGAAACTCTACGGCCTTGTCATTTTGTACCCAACACAGAAGACAAGGGAACTGGATAAAACGGTAGGTGAATCGTAAAATAGCCTTCGCGGAGGACTTTTCTATTGAACTAACCCTTATTTGCATTAAATGGAAAGAAAGAGGAAAAACCAGAGAAACCTCTAAATGTTTAGCCCGACGACAAAGGAAATCTAACTCGTGTTCCACTGAGAATATTTTTACGTATGCATTGCTGTCGGTGCGAGCAACAGTAATGGGCTTGACTGTTTGGTATTCAACCCTATGATGAACCGAAATAGTTGGAGTATATGTTTACTACAGTGCTGCAATTTTGACCCGAAAGCAGATGACTGTAATAATATCCCAAACCTCTTCCCTTTGCTCCCCAACGGTGTGGAAAACCATCGAAGGACATCAGAGTGGATTCCGAATCACTTACGACTCAATCGGGAAAAGTGCAATCCAATCGGACCCCTGTGCAAGCCATACTCTCGACCTCTACTGAAAAATTCTATTCAGGAAAAGAGGTGAGTTTCTAAAAGTTGGCTGGTTACAAAATTTCGAACGCACAAGCAAATGAAATGGATGAGACGTTTTGGGAACGTTAGACGTTGTAACATTAAAACAAAACGAATGGAAAAGCAGGCAAAAAAAAATTTGCTAAGTCACCCGATATATTGGGACAATTCTATTTTCACTGAAAAAAGAAATCTCCTTCCTTTTGCTAGAACTTTTAATCTGATTCAAATGAATTTCAATAAAAAATACGCAAAAGAAAGAGATACACTATATATATAGCAACTCAAAATGGCTCAATTAAAAAAAAAAAAAAAACATTGGAAAATATCTACTGATAAACATTTATTCGCTTCTTTTGCTATGTTCATTAGTAAAGAAAGTATATTTTCAAAGAAGGAAGCATTCAGAAACATGTACATATTTAAATTAAAAATGGGTGTAAACTGACCTTTTACATATTTTTTTTTCTTCTTTCAATCAGGTCCTCCTTGTTTTGTCTTCTGATAAGGAACAAATATTTCATTTACATTTTCAAGGTGGTCTGAAAGGAGACGATAAATGGCATGAATCTCTTTGTTCTTTTTTATCAATCGAATGTTTCTATTCGGACACTTTAAAGAACGCAATAATAAACTTGGAAATATTTCTTATGGCTGCGAGTTTTACAGATAAACAAATGACAAATATAAGATGTTATCTAATCATTTTGCTTCGGTGAAAAATGTTGATTTTCATGAGCGAGTAATGACTTCTTTGAGTTCTTCCTGTTTCCAAATTTTCTTTTTTTCCCCATCTACTAAACAAATAATAAGTGTTTCTCATTATTTGATAATTTTTCTCCTGAATGTCTAATGTGACAGAAAAGGGGGGTGGACAGTGCCGACAGAAGACATCTTGACTCCCAGGGCAATAATTTTAAACTTAATGGGTTCAAAATTACAAGGCTAATGAGCCGTGATGGCTCAGGGGATAGAGCGTTCGCTTTCAAATGCTGGTTCGGATTCCAGTTCCCTGGTTCGAATTCCAGTTCCCTGGTTCGAATTCCAGCGATGGCTGGTCGAAACGAATTGCGCATCCAGCTTCCTTCGTGGAAAACATTTTGATGAAACTAACCAGCATTCGCATGACATGGAGAGCAAAACCACGGCTCGGACAGCAGTATTATATCAATCGCTGAATAGCCGACCCAATTTTGGGTTTTCGACAACTAATGTTCAACTCCGTAGCCTTCTCATTATGCAACAATCCAGAAGACAAGGAAACTCCTGGATCTGTACCCCCCAGAGGAATTGATTTGTCATGGGAACATGGAAGACTTTGCGACTTGACAGATTTAACGTGCATCAGTCACCATTTACTACACGGGGAGTCCTCGGCAGGCGGAAATCGAACCCACGAACTCTTGGACTTTGGCCCAGCGCCCTACCAACCAGGCTATCCCGGCCTCGGTAAGCAATATTGTTGAACTTCCCTGAGTTCCGTCAAAAATATAAAAATTCGCTGAAAAATAAGAATACGAGCTGAGTTACAAATTAACTCCGCTAACATCTTATTTTAGTAAATGCATAGAAAATTCAAAACATGGATTGATTCATATGCATGCAAGGTCAAAAGTTTTTTTTTATTGCTTATTTCTTTTCCCAAACTCACGATCAATAAACAATGGTAGTACTGATTTATTCCAGAAATGAGTCGATTTTAATCTGACTAAATCTGCGGAATTCTTATCTACCAGCTATCTCTAAAGAAAACCACGAAAACCTTCCATGGTTAGCCTGACTGCAAAGATACTCTAACCCATGATGCGTCTACCACTGAGGTTACGTCAACACTGTGGTCGATGAGAGCTGGGTGCGGAATTCAAATAGACCAGTTATCGCTGGGATCGAACACGGTTCACCTCATTGGAAGGCGAATGCTCTATCCCCTGAGCCACCACTGTTCAAACGAACAATATTTTAAAAAAAGGAGGAAATCAATTGTTTAATAAACATTAAATCTGGGTCTCTTTCGGTGCCCCCGCAACCTGGTGCTCCATTTGATCGCCTGCTCCTCCCGATGGCCCAGCAAGTCGAAAAGTGAGGCAGTTCACCTTTCTGGAAAAATTTAAATAGCGTAAAAAAAAAATTAACATATAGCAAGCTAATAGCATATTTTTATTGCTAACGTCCCAAAGACAAGAATAAAAAACAGCCCCCCCCCAAAAAAAAAGTTTCAACATTAATAAAAAATTACTTGTTAAAAAATTAAATTAGTGTAGAGTGAATATCAAAAATTTTAATTAAAAGAACAAATCAACTTAGCGATAT